AGCTAATTCGTTTTGGTTAAGTATAAGCTTTAATGCCTGATAGGCTGATACATTGCCAAATTATCTATTGGTTTTAACTCTTTCTCAGCCAGGCTTGGGCAGAATAGCAGAGCAAGTACAAGTATTAGTAGCATAGCAAAAATGCGTTCTAAGTTTAACATTTAACCAAAGTGAAAATGTGGTACACTAGCATATCGGTATTCAACCAACCGGATATGAATTCAGTCGTGGTTAAGTTAACGCGAATACAAAACCGGTTCGACCGGTACACAACCACAAAGACTAATGAAGGAACACAGCAGTCTAATCAACCGATACGACCAGACATAGCTGATTTTCACCGTACGATCACAAGGAGCTGAAGGATTCTCTGATTTCAAAGCTTCTCAGAGAGAAGAACAAAGGCAGACTTCGATGGTGGATGCGAATCAGGTAGCTGAGCTTAGAAGATTCATCGAGCAGTTGAAATCGAATCCGTCGATTCTCCACGACCCTTGTCTGATTTTCTTCAAAGAATATCTCCGAAGGTGATTCATTCTTCTCTGACTTCGTTTTCTTTCGTCAGTTGACTTTTTCAATGGAACTGTGAGTTTCTTTCTAATCGATGTTCGTTCCCGTCTTCTTGTACAGTTTAGGGGCTCAAGTTCCGAAGATTGAGCAAACTGTAAGTTGTTCATAAAATTCTCCGATGTTTGGGTTTCAAATTTCTTCAGGGACTTGGTGTTTGGGTTTGGAGCTTTGGTTGAATTATTAGGTTACTCTTGTTTGTGCTACTTGAGTTTGAAATTGATTTACCAAAAACCTTTTCTAGGCTGAACACTATCTAAATGTTGATCGATGCTTCTTTTATCACACTAGAATGATGAACTTCATTGCAGGAAAGAGATTATGAAGAAAGGGCAGAGACAAAACCCAGTTTCTCTCCTAAACATGCTGATGATGATGATGATATTATGGAGTCTGATGTTGAACTGGACAATGCTGATGTAGTTGAACCTGACAATGAGCCTCCTCAGCCGGTAGGTGTTGAAATTATCATCTTTGGATATTATCTGGTGGTTGTGTGTCTATGCAAAGTTTTCTCTGATTCTTTGATTTTACTTTCTTGTCTTAGATGGGAGATCCTACTGCTGAAGTGACTGATGAAAATAGGGATGAAGCTCAGTTAGAGAAGAGCAAAGCTATGGAGGAAATCTCTGATGGTACATAACCACCATTGAAATTGGATTTGATTTATTTACTTCATTATGATTTCCCTAACGTCTCTTTAATGCTTGATTGGTATACAGGGAAGTTTGACGAAGCTATAGAGCATCTAACAAAAGCCGTCATGCTAAACCCTACTTCAGCAATCCTCTACGCCACTAGAGGTAACTGTCTCTTACTCGGTTCTCTCTCCCTTTTCGGCTGAATGTGGGTTCAATATTTGTGATTGTTATCCTACAGCTACTGTGTTTCTAAAAGTTAAGAAGCCAAATGCTGCAATTCGCGATGCCAACGTGGCGCTACAGGTGATCGTTTCTCTTGAATCACATAAACTTGTTTTGTTTGTGCAAAAAATGGATTGGTAAAACAAGTTTATGTCTCAATAGTTTTATGGCTTGAGACAGTAGTTCAATATCTAAATGGTTTTCTTCCATAGACAAGCTAAACTAGTTTATATTTGGGTTTAGTTCAACCCTGATTCAGCTAAGGGGTACAAGTCACGAGGTATGGCTAGGGCCATGTTAGGCCAATGGGAAGATGCTGCAGCTGATCTACATGTAGCATCAAAATTAGATTACGATGAGGAGATAGGGACGATGCTTAAGAAGGTAATTGCGGAAACCTCTTCATATCACTGTATGCTCCTTGAGTTTTACAGTACCGAATATATGCTGAAAATGTGTACTTCACAGGTTGAACCCAATGCAAAGAGAATCGAAGAACACCGCAGGAAATATCAACGCCTGAGGAAAGAAAAGGAGCTCCAAAGGGCTGAACGTGAGAGACGACAACAGCAAGAAGCCCAGGTCAGACCGATCCATACCCATGATTAAAAAAATATTATGCCATTCTGTAGCTCTCTTTGTATAATTTTACATTCTTAGCAGAAAACACATAGGCCTGATTATTTTCTCCCTGTTAGAGTTAAAATATAACGTCTTGACATTATCAATTTCATATCATATCACACATCTCACGCTCATTCTCCTTGCTCTTGGATCCTATCAATGCAGGAGCGAGAAGCTCAGGCTGCACTCAATGACGGTAAACATTTTATCCTCTTCTTTCAACGGTTCTATACTTCCTGATATTACTGCAAAGAACTACATGTGTGATGTGTCGGAACATTTATCTTTGAGTCTTGTCCCAATGAAGTGTCTGCGCTCAATAAGAATCAAAGCTCAATAAGCTCTTATTGACACTAAATCCACTTGATAAGGCCGCTAACCAGCTTGCTTATCCCGACTACAGTTTCATGTGCATCACTTACCTGGGAAATTCTGCAAATCCAGACCAGAACCATATAACCTCCCAACAAAAAAACATTTAGGGGATAGTTTAGTGGAAACTTCTGGTGTATTGACTTTAGGATATAGCCTCAGTAGCGTTCTGTTTCTTTAGGATACCGCTAGTTCCTCAGGATTATATATGTTGATCACAAATATGCGACTCCAGGGTGAGAAAAAAGCAGCTTGCATGTATCTTAGATCCCAGTTACTCTCACAAAGCTTCATTTATAGCTTTTATAAAACCTAAAATGAAATTTTCATGTCAAAAAGGAAATGACCATCTTTTCTCCCTGATGATACAGGACAAGTGATTAGCATCCACTCAACAAGCGAGCTAGAAGCTAAGACAAAGGCCGCAAAGAAGGCATCGCGTCTGCTCATCCTTTACTTCACAGCCACATGGTGTGGACCGTGCCGTTATATGTCTCCTCTGTACTCAAACCTGGCCACACAGCACCCAAGAGTCGTTTTCCTGAAAGTTGACATAGACGAGGCCAACGACGTGGCTGCTTCTTGGAACATTAGCAGCGTCCCGACCTTTTGCTTCATCAGAGATGGCAAAGAGGTGGACAAAGTTGTCGGAGCTGATAAAGGTTCGCTTGAGCAGAAGATTGCACAGCACTCTTCTTCTAAGTAATGGTTTCTCTCTTCAGTCTATTACCCTCCTCTGGCTTGTTCTATATCTTTGCAATACAATTGTTGTCCCATAATCTAAAATTGTAGCATAACTTTTAAAGTACTTGTAATTGTTTACATGACAGAACAGATCAGTCGAATAAAAATATAAGAGGTAAAGAAGAATTAATAGAGCAGAAATACCCTTTTCTTTAACAGGATGAACAAAGTAAAATTATAAGAAGAAAATAGTACAAAAATCTCATTCTACAATACCCTTAATCAGAGGCCGAGACTTCCATAAAACAACTAAAACATGTGTTCTAGGCCACATTATATATAAACTTATTAGTAAATATATTAACTATACAAGACACATAAATTTTTTAGTAATTTGATTTAGATTATTACTTTTTTGATGATTTCTTATTGCAATAACAAGTAGTAGTATCATAGTTGGGCGATTTAGACGAATGGGCATTTTATTTATAAATTATTAAACAATTTGCTTTGTGCAATAACCAATTTACGTCTTCTTCGGTGAAAGCGCAAGTGGAAAGAGACTTGTGTGAGATCAAATGGAGGAGTAGAAGAGTGAAGATATGGAACAAGTTTAGTGTTACTAACACTTAGACCAACTTTATTGGTTATCCTTCAGTAAGTGTCTCAAACATAAATTAATATTAATGTTTAAAGACATCCTACTTTTTTGGATCTAAAATGTCTTTACAGAGACACAAATTCTACTGTTCAAAAACATCTTCTTCTTTTTTTCTTCTTATATTTTATTATTTTTATATTTTAAAAACACCCTATTTTTTGACCAATGGAGGTGCTCTTAGTTTAGTTTTGAGTTTTGACCCCATCATTAGTTTTTTCTGTCTTTCTTACTTTAATAATTTTTAGAAATGCTTTTTCAATTTTGTGATTTTGTTAAAAATATTTATATATTTGTCTGCATTCACATAGTTTGAATTTTGAAAATCGGCCTTGAATTTTTTAAATAATGAACGGTGTTATATAAATAAAATAGTATAAAATAAATGAGTTGTAGCGGCGGTGATGGTAGTAATGATGGGTGGTGGTAGTCACGGTGGCGATGGTAATAGTGACGGTGGCGGTGATGACAACGATGGAGGTAACAGTGATGGTAGTGGTGGTGGTGACATTAAACGATGGTAGAGACTGACAGTAATGGTAATAGTGATGGCAGTGAATAGTGATGGCGATAACAATGTTGACAGTTGACGGAAAAAAAAAAATAACAATGTTGACAGTAACGGTAAGAAATTGATTATTTTAAAAAAGTTATATATTCGATTTAAATAATTAAACGTTAGAGTGTGGAGAAATGTTTTTACATTTTTTTACTAAAAAATATAAAATTGAATCAATCTTAAAAAAAAAATTAAGGTAAAAAAAATTAGTTGGGGTGAATAAATTAACAAAAATGCAAAAGATAGTAGGAGAAAAGCTCATACACGTATGTGGTATATATACATAATACATGAATAAATAGTATTTATTATTATTATTATTTTTAATTTTTTTTTAAATAGTATTTATTACATATAACTATATAAGGTATATCGCAGCTTTTTCTTTTTCTTTATCTTGCTTTGCTTTATTAAAACTGAAACAGAGATTAGATAGTTTTATCTCTTAGACAAACACATACATAAGTTACTCTGGTTAGTTATTTTATAAATAAAATTGTTAATGTTAGTTTTGCAAATTTCTCCCCATTGTTTACGCTTAAAAAAAAAAAAATTGTGTGTGTGTTTTAAAGTAACATTAGTAGATAGAGATGGTTAAATTAAATTTAATATAATGTAAAAACCCTAAAAGAATCAGGTAATAAAGCCTATATATAGTTAAACCCTTCAATGACACGCCACGACTAACTAAGTCGCCAAGGGGCGAAACATCAAAATTCCTCCATGAATTAGAGCTAAACTCATACATTTCTAATGTTTTTCTATCTATAAACCTCAAGATTTTGTAGCTATGGCACAATTCCTTGTTATTGTAACCGAGCGCATATACCTCATCTGATCTCTTGTGATACTGGTTTATCGGTCGGATCCATCTGGTTTTCCCCGAGAAGGGGTTCCAAACCACACACCTGTATCCATGCCGTATTGATATAGTGGTGCATAGAAATAAGCCATCACAGTGAAAGGCTTCATATATATTGAGTTCTGATGAATTACAAAGGGGATCGATTAGGCTAAGTTTACCTTCTTCAAACAATAGACGTGAGTTGACGTGAATTCCGTTGAGATTGGAACTCAGTGAATAAACCTTAAACTCTATCAACAAGACATCGTTGTACTGCCTTTCAGTTTTATCCAAGTGCTTTTTGATGAATCCGGGGTCTTTGAATAAAGGGTGATGGTACCATCCTTTGCAAGTAGATCTTAACCGTCTCAAAGATGTCACCGGGACCCTAGAGAGTATCTCCTCTACCACATCCCATGGAAGATTGGAGATCATCGTTGTGAATCTTACAAAGAAGAAAGCACGGTGAGTTAGATTAATTAATTAGGGTTTGATTATACAGTATGTATATATTAAAAAAAAAAAAAAAAACTATATGTATATATAGAAAAAGTAAACCTTACATTACTATGTATCGTAATTTTGAAACATAAGACAAACGCCATTAGTGTAGTTAGAAGCAAATAGTGTAGCTGATAGCTTAGCAAAGCAATCGAGATGTGAATTTCATGAATATATGTAATATGTTTGGCCGCCAACAGTTGACGACGAAGAAACAAGCAACATAAGTATGGCCTTCGGGCTTTAAAAAAAGTATTTCCTTTGCCTTGTAGCTTTCTACTTTCTAACGCTTGAATATATTCCTACTAAAATACTAAGTTCCCGAAAAAGAGTAAGGGGAAATTATACATACATATTTTTTTCTCAAGACCTAGGTTCCATAACACAAATGCTCTAGAAGAAGGAAAAAATAAAATAAAAAAAGAAGAAAATATCATTTAAAAAGAACATTGGAATCATGTAAAACTATCATGTGATTTTGCAGTTTCGTTGGGAAAATATAATTTTCGGTTTTTATAAAGATAATTGTAAGACTAGCATTTAGCTATGAGACCTACGACAAGACAAAGGTTAGCTTCTTGGGGAGTTATTCAATCAGATGTCTGCTGCCTCTGCGCTAAGGACACCGAATCTCGTGATCACCTTCTCATTTCCTGTGACTATGCTTCTGCAATCTGGTCACAAGTTTTCAGCAGACTGTCTCCTTTATCCAGACAGTTCCTCACCTGGGATGAGCTTTTATCTTGGACAAGGCTCGACACGGCCCAAGCTCCTTCTCTACTCCGAAAAGTTGCAGCTCAGGCCACAATTTATCACATATGGCGACAGCGAAACAATGTTCTTCACAACGATCAGAGAATCCCTCCCTCAGCAATCTTCAGGATAATTGACAGAGAGATTCGCAATATCATCACGGGTAGACGTCATAGAAAGCGTTGGCGGCCGCTAATGCTTCTTTGGATTAGATAGTCTCGTTTTCACCAATGTTCACTATATTGTAACCTTGTTTTTTATTCTCTTTTTGCCAAAGTTACTCTTCTTTTAGGCATTGCTATTTGTAATCCTAAACTTTCATTTTATATGATATTTACAAGCTTAGCAAGAAAAAAAGAAAAAAAAAAAAGACTAGCATTTAGGTTATGTTCGCTTTCTCATCTATAATTTGCATCCAAATCAATCATTTTGGAATTTAAGTTTCAAAATAAATAAAGTACATAATCCCATTAGCCTCTTCTGGTCAAGACTCAAGAAGAGAAGAACCACATTATAAGGCAGTAACTTTTTTCGTTAACTACGAGACCATTAACATTTGCGTATTAAATGTCACCGGAAGCTTAGAGAGTACCTCCTCTGCCAAATCCCTTGGAAGTTTGGATATCATCGTCGTACCTTTCGTTTCAAGAATCCCTTTATTTCTCTTCTGATTTCTTCCGTATATATATGAGAGGTTTTTATTTTCTCAGATTTATTATATGTACGGCTGACATCTGGACACATGTCACTATGTCAGATAATAGGCACTTCAGATCTCGTTCTGTTCCACCGGAGATACTACTGGTAGATCAGTGAAACTGTTTCCGAAGATGAAGGAAAAAGGGTTAAGTCCACGTTTATGCGTACAACGCGGGTTATTTAAAGTTTTTGCAGGAAGAGAAAGGTTAAGAAGGCTGGGTGGGTTCTTTTCAGTTGGAAATGTCTGATCTTGGCCACGTTTTTACTTCTTTGACGCAAACGTAAGTGAAACAGAGCATGACTGCATGAGTGTAAGTAAATACAGAACTTCTGGTGGTCAATGATCATAGCTTTTTAACATTTTTCTGAGTCCGATAAAGTTGCGCCAATGGAAATGGTGGTTAGTTACTTAGTTAATAGCTTAAGGCCAAAGATTTTTGTATTTTTACACTGGATGAACGAGTAAATGTTTAGACCATCTCCAACAGTGAGATATTCTTTGAGTTTCTCAAACAAAAAAAATATTAGTATTTTAATAAATTTCAGTTATATAATTATTTTTTAATCATAAATATAAAATTGAACTAATAGATGAAAAGTAAGTGGTTTAGTGGATTTCTCAAATGAGACATTCTAAGACATTCTTTCCTCTCTCTTTCTTACTTTCTAATTTTTTTATATTTTTTTAAGAGAGAGTTTCTCAATGAGACACCATTGATGGAGATGATCTTAAGCAAACAATATTCTTTGATTTAGTGTGATTTGAGGGTAATCATTATCCTCTTTTGATAGATTTGGTTGGGTTTCAATGATGTAAATGGGCTCAACATTTGGCCCAACAGAGGAGCAGTTTCCTAATTTCATCGGATTTTGGCTGTAAATTTTTTTTAGAAAAGTGATCGTAATTTCGATTGATCGATTCCATCTGGAGCTTCGAAAATCTCTCTGATTTAGGTAATTATTGTCGCATATAATGATTTATTTGCTTTAATCCAACTTTTGAATTTTCCAATTACGACCAATTCTCTATAAATTTGCAGCCAAAATCACGGCGTGAATATGAGGCGGTTACCACCGTGGATGCTCGGTGGCGCGTCCACCGGTGTAGCAGCTGCACGCAACGCTTCAGAGCCCGAAGCTCCTAAAACAAAGTCTGAAAAACGACCAAGAAGAGTCCAAAAACCCAAAGAGAAAGACTTAAGTCTCAAATCAGAGGAACCTAAACGAGTTCGTAGGAAGATCGGAGAAAAAGCTAAGCGTAGTAGCAATGGCCCGGAGATGATTCAATCAGTGACTGGTCCAGAAGATGATGATCTCACAGTTGATGACTTATTAAGCTTTGCTAATGAGGTAAATGTGATTCTTCAGTTCCACAGCTTTTACTACTAATGATTTGTGAATTTTCTTAGTGCTACTTAACAATGAATCTCTCAGTATGTCCAACGTGATGAGGAAGAAACAAGAAAGGAGCGTGAAAGAAGCTTGTCAATGTCTGAAACTACGCTAGATCTTGATGAATCCAATACGACAACATCATCTCAAGGAGGAACCAAAGATCCAACAGCCGATGAAATGTTAGAATTGCTAATGGGTCCTTTTTTCAAGAAACGTTAGAATTGAATCAGAACTGAGTTTAACTTCTTCAACATTGTTTTTTAACGTTTTGAGTTTTGTTCCAGAGATCCAACATCATTATTCATTTTTTTTTTTCTGGACGCAAATAAATCATTGAAGAGGACCAAAAATATTGAAGAATGTACGAGCTACTGAGTTCATAAGCCCATAGAGAAGAGCAAACGAAAGCATTAGTGCTCGTGAAAATTAGATTTCTTGGTTTTGGCAACTAAAAGGACCGATAGCACCACTTTTTCAAGCGCATCAGTGACGTGCTGCCTTAACTAACTCAATCACACACACATAAAGACACTAATTTATTGGCATATACAAGAATCAAAGAGCCAAAGACTGGAATCAGATATTTCCAAGTGACGATGGAATCGTGATTTTAAGTGGAGATGGGTGTAGTATATAAAGTGACGGCCACATCTAGAAAACCCTAGTTGTTCACTTTGTGGTGCCTTGAGGACTAATGGGCTTGTTTGTTATTTTCTTCATTGGGCTTATAACAAATTTTCACTTGGTCTTAGTAGTAAGTAGTTTAGTAAGTACTAAGCATACTTAGTTTCACAATTAGGATTTGATTCAAAATCCAATGGTGTTAAAAAGGTTAAAAGTGTTAAGAAAACAAGGCAAAACGTAAAATGAGAAGAAGAGAACAAATACATTTACCTCAATCAAGCTTTCATAAACTGTATATGAGTTTCTTTCCTAGCCAATAATTCACTTATAATGTTGGGAGATTCCAGTCGAATGTTCTCAACACCTCTTAATTTTTCGCTTTTCATATAAACCAGTGATTCACGAGAAATGGTTGCACATATATATCTCAATATTCTTCGGGAATCAAAATTATAAACCAGAGTAAAAAAAATCTTATAGAAACCACTAAAATTGGCGATAATCCTATGTCTATAGAAAGAAAATGCAATAAAAAGTGATTAACAGTTTCGCATGGTTGATAAGATTAACAGTTGTAGTTTTCAAATTTGTAGTTCTAAACCATCCTAAAACTTTCTTTTCTTGTCATGACATTAACCACAACAGCATTTCTATGTACTTGTTGTAAAGTTTTGAAAATGATTTTTTGGAGGTGGTCAGAATGTTTTTTTAAGGGGATTTTCTCACCCCAAAAAATTAATTAATACTGTATAAAAATTGATCATGAAAGTTTAAGGAACTTATTATCAAAAAAAAAAAAAAAAATTAAGGAACTCTAATAATAATAATAATAGCTTGTACGACTTGTATCGCCGGAGGTGTTTACCTCTCCGCACCTATTTTCTCGCCTTCTATCTCTCACATTCGAAGCTCTCTCCCTCTATCTACGTCTCTCTCTCTCTTTTACCGCGCTTCTTACACATTGTGACAGACATCAACTCCTACCTAATCCTTCTGCAGATCGAATTCACCCGACGAAGAATCACATCAGGTAAATCAATCGCTCGAATAATCACAACTAGCTCGTATCGTCTTCTTTACTGTTTCCTGCGTTTCCCGTTGCTTATTATGTTCAATTCTGAGAAATTCGAGTGTGATCTGGATCGGTGTTGCGTTATCGATTTCGTTTGGATCCAGTCAAGTGATTTGGATGCGAGAAAGTTGGGATTGTTGATAAATCTGTGATCTTTATGGAGAGAGAAGATTAATGGGGATCAGATAAAACTCAATTTTTGGTTAAAATTTGACTAAATTTGGCTCTTTTGTGATGCAGTTTTTGGGTTTTGAGGAATGAATTTCTTGCTTCGATCTGCTTCTTCCGCTACTCATCGGCCTCCGGTGAGCGAACCACCAGCTACTCCACCTCAACCTCCGCCTGAAACAGCCAAGCCCGGAGTGACTTTAGAAGGGCTGATAGCTGAAGAGTCTTTCCCTCAATATCCATCAGTAGAAGAAGATCTCGATCGTCTGGCTAACGGATCCAGAGATGATGATGGTAGTGGAGAGTCAAATGCTAAGTCTGGTGGCTCTGGTATGGACAGATTCTCTGATGTGTCTGAGGAAGAAGGATGGATCGCCATTCCATATAGTATATAACTTACTCTCTCTCTCTCTCTCTATACTTTACTTCTAAAATTTGAAGTTTTGATTTTGAAAGTTTTGAATTAGGAGCCTTTTGTTCCTTACCTGATTTGGTGATTTCTCATTTCAGAGGAGATCCCGGATAACTGGTCTGAGTCTGTTGATATTCATTCTTTACGGTCGCTGGATCGTTCCTTTGTTTTTCCTGGTATGCTGTTTCTCAGATCATCTCATCTTGCCATTTGCTTTTAAAGTACCTCTAGTGATTGAACAACAACGACATTATCTACTTTAGGGGAGCAGATTCAAATCCTTGCATGCTTATCTGAGAGTAAAGGAGACACCGAGATTATTACCCCTTTTAAGGTTGCTGAGGTAATGAGCAGAACTGGACAGAGAAAGGTCTTTGACAAACAAAATGGGGATATGTCTGATGGGGCGAGTACACCATCAGGGGATGGAGAAATGAGTCCTGATGCTCAATTTGCTACTCAGAATGGTGACAGTCCTGGTAAAGAGAGTTTGGATTCACAAAAGGACTTATCTGATGGTGAATCAATCTTGAGGATGGAAGATCATAAGAGACGAACAGAAGACTTGCTTTCCAGGTTTCAGAAGTCTCATTTCTTTGTTAGGATTGCAGAGTCTGGTGAGCCTCTTTGGTCAAAGAAAAGTTCTCTGGTCGCAGATACAGACATGGATGAAAAGAGGAAAAGCACGAAAAGTAGACCTTGTGTTAGTGCTTTTGTAGATAGAGGAGACTTCGATCCTAATGTTGCTGGAGGTGTAGCTAGAAGTAAGGCAAAATGCTGTGCCCTACCCAATGGAGATATAGTGGTATGTGATGGTAAATTTGTTACTTTCTGTTTTGGTAATAAATCTAGGGAACTCTGTTTGAAATGATTTATGAACCAGTGAAATTCCTCTTCTTGTGTAATGTATTGTCTGTATGTGAATTTTCCACCCTACTCATTCAGATATTCTGAACTTTTAATAACCGAGTTAATGGACCTACTGATTCTCAGACAACACCTTTCTTTGGAAGGATGCAGGTCTCTTTACAAGTTTATATTGTCGACTGTCCCAAAGAACCCATCATAGAGATACTGCAGTTTGAGAAGCATCAAGACAAGGACCAAAATTCTGAGAACGATAAGGATCCATATGGGAATCTTTTAAAGTGGTTAATACCGCTGGATAACAGTATTTCTCAGCAACCCCGTTCTTTACCACCTCCTATAACCCCTAGCCCAGGTATCAGCAGCACTGCACACAAGCCAGCGATCTCTTCTACCTCAGGCTCTCAACTCTTCTCATTCGGCCATTTCAGAAGCTACTCCATGTCCGCTCTACCTCCAAACACTGCACCAGTTACTGGACCCATAAAAACACAGAGCTCTAAACCATCATTTGATATTGAAGATTGGGACAGCTACTCAGGTCAAACGGTGCGAAATGGTCAGAAGTCTGGGACTGAAGAGCTCTTATCTTTTCGGGGTGTCGCATTGGAGCGGAATAGGTTTTCTGTTCGTTGTGGACTCGAAGGCATCTGCATCCCTGGTAGAAGGTGGAGGAGGAAACTCGAGATCATTCAACCTATTGAGATAAACTCTTTTGCAGCTGACTGCAATACAGATGATCTTCTCTGCGTTCAGATAAAGGTGTGTCTCTGCATCTCTGTTAATCTTTGGTGGTACTGTGGTCAATTTATTTCTGGGATGCATCCTAACTTACCTTTTTTACTGGCAGAATGTGGCTCCTACCCATGCTCCAGATATTGTAATATACATAGACGCCATAACAATTGTTTTTGAAGAGGCAGGAAAAAATGCTTCCCCTTCTTCAGTACCAATAGCATGCATTGAAGCTGGAAACGAGCACAGTTTGCCAAATTTAACTCTCAGGTTAGCTTATTTTCCTAAATTCCTCGTAATTATTTTTCTTTTGTATTGAGATTCTCCCATCAATCTTCTTGATAAAATTGATAGATTTAGATATCAGCATTTTTCTCTAGTCCAGTAAGTCTCAGAATTTTTCAGTGATGTGAAATACAAAATAACCCATAATATTAGGTAATCTTGGGTAGTGACCAAGACACCAGAGAACAAGTTATCAAATCCAACGAGTTTCTGAGAGTAACTTTTCTCAACAAGCACCGTGGTTTGGAGGCTAAAACAAGCTAGAATACTCCTTTCAAGAACATTATAGAATGCACTTACCCACCCTTAGGTTTTCTTGCAACCTTTCAGGAAAGGTGAGGAGCACTCATTCATCGTGAAGCCTGCGTTTTCTGTTGGGAGTAATCTGAAGCCCTCTGCTGCACGAAACAAACTCAAATCATCGAGTTTGTCTCTTCCAACTGTAAATTTTGAAAGAAAAGGGAGCGGTTTAAGTGGTGATCAGTATGCGGTTATGGTGTCATGTCGGTGCAACTACACAGGTAGATCCACATTACTGTGGTTTGTAGTCATGTTTTTGTCTTTCGTCCATTCATATCTATAGCTGTTTCATCAATGCTGTTTTATGTTGGACTCAGAATCAAGACTGTTTTTCAAACAACGGACAAAATGGAGACCACGAGTTTCGAGAGACCTGATGATCTCTGTTGCGTCTGAAATGTCAGGAGAGCCTTGTGGTCCCCATGGGAGAGCCTCTCAACTACCCGTTCAGGTCATTCTCTCTCTTTATCTCTCTCTGACTATCCCTAGAATTTAAATGTGACAATGCATGAACTAATGGAAGGAGTTCGCAGCTGCAAGTGACTGCTAGTGTATACCCAAATGACTGAAGCTTTAATCAGATGTTGTCGCTAAATTGTGGTTGCAAAAGTTGCTAAAAACTAACTTGTGGCTAGTAGTTGTGCCCTTCCTTGATCAACTCTGGCTTCGTATATATGAATAAGAAACCATGCCTATTCTTCAAAATTAACCAATTTCTAAATCTGCAAATACCAATCCCAATGGCGTCTTTTATTTTACCTCATACTTTTTCTCTACTGGTTTCAGATTTTAACTCTTCAGGCATCGAATTTGACTTCAGAAGATCTATCTTTGACCGTTCTCGCTCCTGCATCCTTCACATCACCTCCGACTGTAGTGTCCTTAAACTCTACGCCTACGACCCCTATAAGCCCATTCCTAGGATTCTCTGAGTTCACCGAGAGGGTACAAAATGAGAAACGCAACACTACGATGCGTAAACATCAATCGTTACCCCCAATTCCACTGGAGACAAGGACAGAGAACACAAATGGTGAATCTTCCAATCCTTCAGATGTTGTTCCAAAGAGCGGCTTAGGTTGCACACATCTCTGGCTACAAAGTCGAGTTCCCTTGGGGTAAACATCTAATAATAATATCCAATGAGCTTCAGGTATGGGTTTACCATTATAAATTGATAACGATATTCTACTTTCTAAATGCATCAGATGCGTTCCTTCGAAATCTACGGCGACGATCAAGCTAGAGCTACTCCCTTTGACTGATGGCATAATCACTCTTGATACTCTCCAGATCCATGCCAAGGAGAAAGGTTAGCAAAAAATCTCTAGTTTCTCAGCAAAAGACTATAAACACTTGTGCTGAATATTCTTTCTTTCCGTGAAAACATCCGTGGTTCCATTTCCATATGAAGAAAGCAAATCTCGAAAACTGATAGCCTGACACTATAGAAGCTTCAATATGTTTTAGAGTGAATCATAATCATAAAAATGTTAGATGCTCGTGTTTAATGACTGAAACAACCAATGAACTCGTGTGTGACAGGTCGTAGATACATTCCAGAGCAGTCACTGAAGATAAACGCAACTTCAAGCATTTCCTCTGGGATTTTCTAGTCTTTACCCAATGCCACTTTTGCCTTTTCTTAGAGCCAAAAAGAGTCATCAAACACAGAGCAGTTTCATCTTCAGCATCTCAATAGAGGCTCATCCAAAGATTGTGTTGAAAAATCGATTTTGGTTTCCATTTTCCGTGCGTGTTCAGCCCTGTAAAAAAAGCAAAAGTCTCCCGGTTTCGAAGGTTTGAAGAGAAGTATGTTGTAAAACCCACTTGTGTTTCCTATTAATTTGAACCATGTGTTTGTCTTCTTTGGCTTTCTTTTTGTAATTGATTGATTCTGAAAATTGCATAGAGACACAAGACAACCATTGTTATCGAATTTACATTTGTTACTATTTCCTTATAAAATCAGATAATCAACCGAGGATTAAGCAAAGTTTTATCAACAAATCATCATTATCTTGGAAAGTTGCAAAAAGAAATTACATGATCAAGCATGGCTAAAAAGAGTGCACCCGAGCTTAGGTGCACCTGAACACAGGGGATCACAGCTAAGCCATTTTCACGGTGACCCAAAGTCGTCGTGGAGGCAAAAACCCTTTACCTCCGGGATCAAAATCTTGGAGAGACGAAGATGGCGACATCGTTTTCCAAAATCCTGACGAAATCGAACGCTCAGAGACACTGGTGCTCTACTACAACCAGTATATCTGCATCTCCTTCTTTACCGAAACAATTCTGGTCAAGACACTTCTCCGCCGTCGCTGACTCTTCCTCGTCTACCTCCGCCGCTCTGGGAAGCCAATCGAGTTCTTCTGCTCCACCACAAGGTATGCTGCTCGTCCTATGTCTCCCGATGCTTGAGCTTGGAATTTGGGGATATTAAGAGTCATTTGTGAAAAGTTAAGCCCTTTTTTGTTTCAGAGAATAAACGAGGTTCAAAGTGGTCACAATTGCTGTTATTCTTGCCTGGAGCGATTACCTTCGGCCTCGGGTCATGGCAGATCGTCAGAAGAGAGGAAAAGGTCAGTACTTCGAAATCAGTGAAGTCCTTTACATTTTGTTTTCATCGTCTTTTTTCTTCTCCTATCATGTCTCAAGCTTGGTTATAGTTTGTCTTAGACTTTTAGTTGGAATTTATATTCGAAATGTGCTTCACACAAATTCTTGTGGCTTTGTGATCAGTAAAGGAATTAGAGTAACTAGATCCTAGATTCCTGATCTGTGATCTGGGTAGAGCACACACTGATCTATGCTGGGGCAATGCAGTTCTCTGCACTTTCATGTAGACTTATTAAGTTAAATAAAGTGTCAGATTCCAGTGAGAATTTAAATGTTCGTATTTCTTGATGTGACAACACTCTTATTGATTGTGAATGCATGCTCAGTACTGGCTACCATTACCTGATTTCTTTTCTTTTTCTCTTCCAAGTGGTTGCTGAAGCTGAGACATTTAATATTATTTGGTGCTTTCGGCTGAGTAGACCCTAAGCTTTCTTCTCTCCTTGTTAATGCAGTTCAAAACACTGGAGTATCAACAGCGACGGTTGAACATGGAACCAATGAAGCTAAATATAGACCATCCTCCTGATAAGAATCTTGATGCATTAGAATTTAGACGGGTTAGTTGCAAGGGTGTCTTTGACGAGCAAAGGTCTATCTATTTGGGTCCACGGTCTAGGTCCATTTCGGGAGTTACTGAAAATGGATTCTATCTCATCACACCTCTAATGCCAATCCCCGGTGACCTGGATAGGTGAGGGTAATGATCCTTTCTCCTTACTTTTAAGTTTCTCTATTACCCTTTATACAATTGTGAAAATTACCTTTTTTTTGTCAGCCTCATCGAAGTAAAACTAGGGTCTTGCCTTTCTGTTTTCAGTTATGGTTGTGCAATTATTATAGCTCTTCCTCATGATATAATAGGCCATTGGTTCTCTAATCCTATTATACTCTCTAAACACTTGGCCATGCTTGTCTTATACTACTGCCATATTATACTCTCTGTGATCTGCTGCAGTGTCACTTAAGCCTTAATTGGTCTTGGCTTTGTCATGGTTTTTGGCTGTCGGTTTTAGCTCTAGCTGTTAACTGTTTGGTACTTTCTGAAGCCGAATTTTCTTTTCCTTTGTCCACTAGCATGCAGTCGCCTATTCTGGTGAATCGTGGATGGGTTCCTCGAAGTTGGAGAGAGAAGTCACCAGAATCCACAGAGGCCGACTTCGCTGCAAACCAGTCAACAAAAGCTGAATCACCCTCCAATGAACCAAAGTCCTGGTGGAAATTTTGGTCTAAGACACCAGTGATTACCAAGGTTGGTCTTTTTATAACCTCTCTTGTTCAGAAACTTTTTTCATTTGTCATAAGGTTGGCTTCTCATATATTTGATGTAGTAGAAACTGTAATTTTGTGGGATGCATCTGAATAGAAATATCGGATCAATGCAGAGACAGATTGATTTCAGCTATCTGCAAAGTTTCACTTCTTTTCTATTGTCTTTATCAAATCTCTTGCATACATTGTAACTTGTGAAAACTGAAATCTTGTAGGAACATGTATCCGTGGTTAAGCCTGTAGAAGTTGTTGGTGTGATCAGGGGAGGGGAGAACCCGAGCATATTTGTTCCATCCAATGATCCAAGTAGCGGGCAGTGGTTCTATGTAGATGTTCCAGCGATGGCTCGAGCCGTTGGCCTTCCTGAAAACACAATCTACGTAGAGGACGTCCATGAACATGTAGATCGGAGTAGACCGTATCCTGTTCCCAAGGACATCAACACCTTGATCCGCAGTAAAGTGATGCCACAGGACCATCTCAACTACTCAATAACATGGTAAACTCTATACAGATACATGAGGTGTTCTTGGCATTGCCTGGTCTTAAATGCTATGGTAAATGAGTGACATTGTGTTTGTGTCTGTCTATTGATGAACAGGTATTCTCTCTCCGCGGCTGTCACTTTCATGGCTTACAAGAGACTGAAGGCAAAGCCTACCCGCAGATAAGCTCTCGCTGATCAAAGTCAAATCTTATTCTTTTTGTCACTTGTCTGCTGAAGTAATAATTGCAATGGATAACGGGTTTTAGGTTTAAACATTCATTAAAAAAAAGGACACAATGAAATCCTTACTGTTGTGATAACTTCATAGAAATTTGTAGTTTTCTTTTTCTACGATGGAAGGAAAGTTCGAACTGGAAGCCATTTGTAGGTAAAGAAGGTTGCAATGAATGCTTGTAGTCACCATTGTTCTTTCTTCTAGTAGACTATAGCAGCACACGTTGGTGTTAATTATGTATTACCAAGAAAAAGTCATTTTCTTAAAGGTAAGATTGCGGTTTAAGAGAGTTTGTTTGATTATATTTATTTTGAAACCTTTTTAAAATCCTCTATATTAAGTTTGGGTTTATTCGAGACTCGAAAGACTACCTATATCAGTAAATTATAAAGTATGAACTGCTGTCAAGTAAAGAAAGAAAGAAAAAAGATTCATTTTACAAGTATGTGGATTTTCATGGGTTTTACGTGATAGCACTGGAAAGGTCTTGATGCATAGTAGAAGATCAGTCTCAGAGATTGCAAGTCTTTCAGAAGCACAATTTCAAAGCATCTTGTGGGATATTGATAGTATGATTAGTCATAAAGTCAATAAAGTGATATTTGCTTCTGAAGCTCTTGAGATGATTAATGCTATCAACAGACCTCAAGAATGGCCTTCTTTTCAGTATTATGCTTCTGAAATCAAGCAGAGGCTCACTCCAATTGAAGATTGGCGATTTGAGAAAGAAAACTCTTCTTCAAATAAAGGTGCATTTCTTATTGCCTATAGTGTGCTTCAGGACAATAGATTCCAATCATATGTTGCTAAAGGTTTTCCTTTCTGGCTTAAGTCAATCTTTGATTCAGAAAGTGAGGTAACTTTTTGAAATCCATAACTTTTAGTTATGCTAGAAGGTTTGTCTGTAGTTCTTCGTGTTTCTTTTTCTTCCTTTTTTTTACTTTTTTCTTCTTTGACTCTTCAACGATCATCTTCAATTTTTGTTTCTACTGCAGTTGATATTTTATATTTTTATGTTTTAGTTTGTAATGGCCTTGTCTGCAATGGCTTTGGTTGTCTTTGTCTACATAGTCTCCTTGTCTCTGTAATAGTATGTACTGGCTTTGAAGATTAATAAAGTTGAAACTCTTGTGTAAAAAAAAAAGACTCATTTTACAAAAATTTAGTGTTAGTTATTTTATGCAACTAAAATCTCATTATTCCACTGCCGCCGAGAGGATCTCTGCCGCGATGCCTTTGACACCTTTGTGGCAGAGTTTTAACTTTTAATTTATTTATCGATCTGGTGTTATGTACCTTCATGTTTATTACTAATATTTTACACCAAAGTTCAAAGACTGGCTTTCTCTTTAAAGCTCAATCAGAATCATCTCCCTCATCCCTAACTGGAGAATAGTTTTAGAAGATCGAATTACTAACCAAGGTGCTTTCCTCATAGCTAAGAGTGTCACAATGGAGGACCGATCACAATCATATGTAGCTCAAGGCTACCCTTTTTGGCTTCAGAATGTTTTCGAATTTGATAAATGCATTACTTTGATGTAATGATTTTCTGTGGTTTGATTGCTTTCGCCTTTCGGTCCCTTTTTGTAATTGTGAACTTTGTGTTTTTATATCATATGAATCATTCAGACGAAAAAAAAAAGGCTTTCTCTTACAAAATTTGAAATAGTCAAAGTCAACCATTGTAAATGTTACCAAGGTCAAACAAAAAGCATAAAAGAAATATACAGTCTGTACTAACTTTTAACTCGTACCAAAAAATAAAACGAAATTATTGGAAGTTATTCTCAACTCAAAAGCAACATTCTAAAAAAACGTTTGAAATTAGCTGAATAGTGTGTGAAATATCACATATATATATATATATATATATATATGGATACTTATTTTATAAAATGGAAAGAAATGAAATTATTTATTATCAGTAAATATGTTTTTCATGTGAGTGTGAAACCGTAATTTTATTACTAACTAAGTAATTGTCCAAAGCAAATTGTATATATAATAATTAGTATAATAAGATTTGATAAACTCATGAATTAGGCCAGGTGTTAATATCAGTCTTGTCCCAGATTGTTCGCCAGAGAGAATCATCCTCGCTGTTTCCTATTTGCCAATTTCTTCACCAATCATCATCTTCTTCTTCTTTCTCTTTACGCATCAGACAGAGCCAATCCATGGCGGTTTCTTTCTCCAGCGACGGTGTTAGCTCCGTGTAATTCGGTTTTCTGACAAGTCAAATCCCTAATCTCCTCGATTCTCATGGCAATCGTTACCGGAGATCGATATCTAGAGACTCTCCAGAAGTTTCTTGAAGAGAAAGCTGATTTGCTTATTGATGGTACCGATGTTCTCAAGCTTAATCCCGCAGGCCTTCACTATGTTCATCTCCGTCTCGAATCTCTTCGTGAACTTGAGCTTATGCTCTCCGGAGCTCCCGTTGACTATCTCCGCGCCTACGTCTCCGACATTGGCGATTTTCGTGCCCTTGAGCAGCTCCGACGTATTCTCCGCCTCCTTCCTTCTCTCAAGGTCGTTTCGTCGCTTCCTTCACCGGCTCGTGATCCTACGCCGCTATCTCTTCTTCCTTTTTCTAAGCTTAAGGTCTTGGAACTCCGTGGGTGTGATTTGTCTACTTCTTCTGCCAAAGGCTTGCTCGAACTCAGGCACACCTTGGAGAAGTTGATCTGCCATAATTCCACTGTGAGTTTTCCTCTTTTCCATGTTACTTTTTTTGTTTGTTGTGCTTTGTTTTAGTGCATTTCTGCTATGGTATTGAGTGGGGTTATAGTTCTGTGTTGCTTTAGTCTGTAGGGAAATTGAACTATTAGTATATTTGGAATGGACAATGAACGGTGGAAGGTTTTCATGTCATTTCTTCAGAGGTTTCAGGACGCAAAGGTTGATGTTATGAGTTTGTTCATGTGTTTTGCTTGTCTTTGGATCTTTTTGGGAAATCCCTGACTAATATTTTCCAGGTCTCCACTAAATGTAGGATGCGCTTCGGCATGTGTTTGCTAGTAGAATCGCCGAGATAAAGGATTCACCTCAGTGGAATAAGTTGGCTTTCATTTCTTGTGCTTGTAACCGTCTTGTTCTCATGGATGAGTCGTTGCAACTTCTTCCAGCTGTTGAGTCCCTTGATCTTAGCCGAAACAAGTTTGCAAAGGTAGATAATCTTCGGAGATGTACCAAGTTGAAACACCTTGATCTGGGTTTCAATCAACTTAGAAAAATCTCTCACCTGAGCGAGGTAGGAAAGTTCAGTTTTCTGCATGTCCATCTATAGATTTCATTCGATCTGAAGCTGCTTAACATTTGTGTTTGTTAGTTACTATCTCTTCAACCATTTAGCTAGTCTTGATAGTTCTAAAAATACTATGGCGTAGTTTGAACAGACAGAAGATATAAGGAACACTGAATTTCTGTGCTGAAGATTTTATTTAGGTTTTTTCCTAGGGACCCATACACCTATTTTTTGTACTATGCAGGTATCCTGTCACCTTGTTAAACTTGTTTTGAGGAATAACGCGCTAACTACATTGCGTGGGATTGAGAATTTGAAGTCACTTGAAGGCCTTGATGTTTCCTTCAATCTTATTTCCGACTTTTCAGAACTGGAAGTTCTTGGGAGTCTTTCATTCTTGACAGACCTGTGGTTGGAAGGAAATCCAATTTGCTGTGCTCGATGGTACAGAGCACATGTCCTCAGCTACGTTTCTCTTCCAAATGATGTAATTTTTGTTTTAGAGACTATAAAATCTTGTTAAAAATACATAAATTGCACCATTTCAGTTTCTGCTTGATTTAATGCTTTTATCTGTGCGGCTTTTCAGTTGAAGCTAGATGGCAAACATATTGGGAATAGAGAATTTTGGAAGAGGCAGGTTGTTGTTACCCGTAGGAAAAGTCAGCCTGCCAGTTACGGGTTCTACTCTCCGGCTAGAGACGAAGCTGATGACGAAGGAAGCTGTAATAGAAAAAAGGTAATCAACAAAAAGTTTAGTTACAGTTTATCTACATATATATAATCTGCTCGTAGCTGTTGTGGTCCTTTCTCCTGCGTGACACTAAAACCCTTAGCATGAAAAACATAAGAACTATGAACCAATTATGCAGGTGTAGTAAGTATGGTATGGCTTTTTGAACAGCGTCATGAACATACACATCATATTATAGACAGCTTCTCTTTGTACTTTTTTAGATTTTCAGTTTCTTGTTTGTTTTGTGGTATAAATACTTATTGGAAGCTTATTATCGTTCTCTTGTTTCCTTCCACAGACGAAAATCTACCGGCTCGCGTCTATTGATAGTGAGGAAGAGAGCACCTATGTGAATTCTGATCAAGAGTCTGCTTCATGTGAACCCGAGACTCAAAGCAAAGAAGAGAATATCAAGTCTGATCATGAAGCTGATGTCTTTGGTCTAATAAGTAAAGTTGAACAGTTGAAGAAAGAGCGTTCTGTTCTCTGGCTTCGGGAATTTAAGGAGTGGATAGATCATCCATCAGAGGATTTTGTGGATGTCAGCAAAAATGGGAGCAGTACTGATTCAGAGCAAAAGTACGACACGAAGAATAGAAATGGCCCAAAGCATTATGGTGAAACAATGAGATATGCACCAGGGCCTCTACCAGGTTTCCAAATTACAGATCTAAATCAGAAGCATCAAGCATTTTTTCTTGATGGGAAGCCAGATGAAAATGGAAACATGTCAACTTCGGATGCTACTCAGGATATGACAGGATCATTTTCACCCTCATCACCCCCTCATTATCAAAAGGATGTCTTACACCGGCGTCAGAACCTGGTGGAAGAAATCTTACAGATATCAGCAGATTCTTATTCAGTGGCTTCGTCTGATAGTAGCTGCAGTGAAAATGAAAATTATGATTCTGAGCAATCAAATCCTGAACAGGATATGTTGAAGGATCATCTTAGTGGGAATAGAGGAGAAGACACAAGCTTGCTTGACTCTCAACCAGAGAAGAGTAGCATCATAAAGTCTTGGAGGATAGAGGATTCGTTCAAAGCAAAGACCACTAATTTTCTTTCTGGGCTACATAATAGTGAGCTTGCTTCTGGTGTTAACCAGATTTACCGTTGGTTTGACAAAAGGAAAAGCAAGAGGAAGCCTAAAAAAAGAGTTATTTCTCCACTGGAGGAGAATAGTTTCATAAATAATGGAGAAACATCTCATAGAAGTGATGCAAATATCATTGATTCTTGTGAAGATGAATATATTTCTGATCATTTTCAAGAAGGTTCCTTGACTACGGGTTGTAATAGTAAGAGAAGTACTAGATTTTTGGAAACTGAAAAATCCCTTGAAGGAATGGATGGTCTAGTGGAAGAATTTTTTACAACGACACTGTCAGATTCCAGCATTAATGAGACTTGTAGGATTTACGTTAGTTGTGATTGCATAATACAGCAAGAATCCACTTACAAGCAACGGTAAGTTTTGTTCCCTCTATTATTGTGGTTCTAGGTGAAAGAAAAAGTATTCTAAGTCCCTTCTGTCTTTGTCTTTAGTTGAAAAACTTATGATACTTGATGGGACATGCTGGGTATAAAGTTACTGAGGTCGCGTAGATAGTGCTTCTCTAGTTTTGATAGGCTTTATTCAATTTGAAAAGGAAAAACTGGTCAATGGAATTAGATTGAGATGTTTTCGGTTTCCTTGTGATTCACATGCATGAATAATTTATTATTTTCTTTTATAACTAAAAATTTGTCTTGAGAAGCCATTTACTAGGATGGCACTCTTCTTTCCCCCCCTTACAGTACTCTATAAATGCAGGGAAGTAGTGTTGCTGCTGAGTAGCCAAGAAAAACTGTATGTGCTGCTCGTGGGTGTCTCCAGTGATTCACAAGGTTAGAGTGCTTTTCCCCGTCTTCCTTATTTATTCTTTATGTCTGAATGTGTTATGCTCTGTTGATACTGATTTACTTTTCCTTGACCCCTGGTGTCTGCAGAGAGCAGTTTAAGTTTATTGTGTTCGCATACAATCGGTGATATACAAGACGTCTCAGTTGGTCTAGGACTTCAGGTTGTGAGGTTAGTTTTTCATGTCTCCGCTTTTAAAATTGATTATGTGCCCATGTCCCTAACCTCTCGCTTTCCTTCTGGTTTAGGCTACGCTTTAGGGAGGATGCAGAGTACATTTTCATAACGGCGAGCATTGAAAAAACAACAGTTTTACTCAATATCATAAAATTATTGGATTCTCAGGTTACAGAATCAAAATTTTCTTTGAAGAGGTGAGCTTTCATCATCTTTTTCTTCAGCTCTTTTACTATTATTCTTCTGTCTGCTGATTTAAGATGTATTGAAACTTAAATGGCAGTTTGGAGAATGTTCAAGTGGAATTGTTTGAGAAAGAAATATGTAGTGGTTTGAAGCTGAGTATATTCCAGTATAATGTTCTCCATTTTCAGAGCAGCACTCTTGGAGGTATATTATTCTCTCTTGTATAACTATGATGTTGTGTAGTGAGAAATGGTTCACCTCAAATGTCCATTTTTTCTCTCTGAAAGAAGAAAATCTGATAGGGTATACTATTTTACCTACCAGATCAATAGCTCATGATTTCATCCCTAGTGTGCAAGCTCACATTCACAAGCTGATAGATTACATTTCTGTGAAGTATCTTGTCTACTTGGATCTCGCAAATCTCAGGATTTTTGGCTAGTCATTGCTTTTTTTTTTTTTTTTTTTTTTTTGTGAAAATGCTAATTACTGCTGCTCATAGGAACTATTGAAAACTCAAATTAGGAAGCTTTATTCCTCTTAATAGGGTTTGACAAGCTTATAAGTCATCTGATTCGAGTGGTATCAGCAGTGATCATTTACTATAGTGTTAATCAATTTTCTTCTGTTAAACTGAACAGAAGTGTCATGGCTTCCACGGTCACTCTTTGTGGCGGGTGGACATCTTTTCATATGCAATGAAGACTTCAGGCAGCTGAGTTTTCTGCCAACAGATGCTTCTTCATCCCCATATTTCTCACTTGCCTCAAGCTGCTCAATCTCCGACATATTTGAGATGGTAACAAGTTTGTTTATTCTTTCCCTTTCTCTCACTTATGGCAGTTTTTCATGGCAAATTTGGCTATTATCCAGGTTGTTGAATCACGAGGAAGCTCGTGCTTGTCACTGAAGATCAAGCAGATGGATTCCACATTTCAAAGCAAACAAAAGAGGACAGTGAATTCAGTAACATGGAAGCTCAAGTTACTCAGCAACGAGTGTGTACTCAAATTTGTGGCTCTAATCAATGGACTTCACCCAGAATCGACAGAATGCCCGTTGCTCGTAAGGCATTTGGGTGAGAAATGAGTCGTATATGTTAATAAGTTGATATTTGTTCATAACGTCATATTCATTTGATTCAATTTGTTAATGAGTTTTGATTCATCTTATATAAAGCCCTCGAGGGTCCTGTGGTGTGTTCAAAATGTTCTTCAATTTGTATATTTTAAAGTGTGCATCATTCATACAACAAACAGCAAGGAAGAAGAAAGAAAATCAGAATTATTTCTGGATTTTTACAATGAAAGCCTGTGCTGTTCTTTGTTTTACAAACTTTTGCAGGTGATGAAACACAATGGGCAAGAGAACCTACTCAACCTTGGTCTTCTCTTCATCAACCTGTGCCATCAATGCCTCTAACTCTGCCTCTGATAAGCTCTCCAGTCGTTTCTGCCCATAACCATGTTAATGTGGGTGAAATACATAAGAAACCCTGATTAAGAAGATCTAAAGGAAACTACAAACCTGCATGACTTGAGACTCGTAGTCACGAAGTTGCTGGGCATAAGTCATCTCCTTGTTACCGACTCTAAAGATATAAGTCGAAATCCAACCCAAAGTCAAACCCAGCACCAGTATCAGCTGCACAGCGTTCCCTGCTTGCAACGGATCTACTCCCACATACTGCAAAATGAGTACTCAGAAGAATGAAGAAAAAGATAACAGATTCATTTTGATATCATCAGTATTTAGATAATGAATATTACCTCAAGTCCACTCTCTAGGCCGATACCAAGTGCAGTCACTCCCACTCCTATCAGTATAACATCCTTCCTCGTGTAACCAAACGGCGTCGTCTATAACCAAATAGAGTTTGCATTAGGAAATGAGACACTACTAATACGATGATGATGATGAGATGGAAATCAGACCTTGGTCTTTGTGGCAGAATCGTCTTCAGTTTCAGTAGAGTTTGAGCTAACTCTACATCTCATTCTTTGTTTCTCTCTCACTTGTACTGATGATGACAATCCATGTCCCTCGAATCTATATAAGACTTTCTTCGCATCTCTAAATCCTGCATCACCTCAACAAACACAGGAGGATTTACCATCGCTTCATCTATAAATCCTAAGTTTTGTCGAAATCGAGAATTGGGTAGAACCTGTGGTTTGTCGCCCAACCGGATGAAGCCGTACAGCCGCGGACAGAACCTCCTGATTTCTGCATAGATTCGAAACTCCAAACGGTAAAGAAGCCATTTCTGTGTTTAACCCACAACACAAGCCGTGGTTACTTGTGAAAAAAATATTAATGGGAGGACGAAGAGATTAGAGAGATGATGGGTGGTTGATATTTTAGTGTTCCCATCCACGAACAAGAGGCGCGTGCTTCTCACCGCCCAAAACGTAGGCGTGTAGACGCAAGTGCCATCAGAATTACTCTTGCAGTTTATTTCCAAGTTCATGTGAAAAATGAGATTCATTCACAATTCACAATTCACAATTCACAATTCACAATTCACAAATCACAAATGGGCCAAATGTTTAGAAGATATGAAAAAATAAAGTAACTTTAATCAATGTCAACAATTTGGTTTAATTATTATTCTCCACGACAACGATCAAAAGATGAAATTAAAATCACTCTCAATGAATCAAAATGAACCGGCCCTTTATTCCCATCATTTAACACCTAAACGTCCATCTAAATACCAACCCCTTCACTCAAGCTGAAAACTCAAACAGCATTGTGTGCTGGTACTTCTCACCAGCTTTAACCACAACAGACGGGAAATTCGACTGGTTAATCGCGTTCGGGAATCCCTGTGTCTCAAGGCACACACCCGCATGTTTCCCGTAAACCGCATTCCCTTTCCCAACCACTCCATTCACATAGTTCCCGGTATAAAACTGCATTCCCGGCACATTGGTCCACAAGTTCAGTACCCTTGAGCTAGCACCATTGCTGAGCTTCGCGGCGTGTTTCAGCCCGTCCTTCTCTTGATCAGGACAGTCCAACACGTAGTTGTGATCATATCCAATACCAACCTCTCCAATAGACTCGCCTATCCGTTTCTCCTCAGTGAAATCGAAAGGCGTCCCCTTTACCGGCAATATCTCCCCTGTAGGAACTGTGTATTCGTCAACCGGCGTGATATGAGACCCCCAAATCTGAATCTTATGGTCCAGAATGTTTCCTGAGTCATGACCCGCCAAGTTCCAATATGTATGCTGAGCTAAGCTGATGGGAGTGTCTTTGTTCTCTGGAACAGCTTCCATGTCAAGTCTCATCGTCGTGGCTGACGTGAGAGTGTATGTCGCCGTGACAGAAACCGCACCAGGGTAACCTGTGGAGGGGACCGTAAACATTATATTAGCTACTAGTCGAATCGTATGGATAATAAAAAGAAACTAAAAGAAAGAAGATATATGCCAGGACCTTCTTCCCCATCAGCACTGTGATATTTGAAAGTAATAAAAGGTTTTTCACCGTCTTTCTTGTGCCCTGCAACTTCCCATATCTTCTTATCAAAACCCTTGTTACCACCTGTACAGATAGAGTAACATTTTATGGTCCAAATCCTATTAAGTTCATGGAAACCTATATAAAGTATACAGAGAAGAGAATTGTTATACATACCGTGGAGACTATTGGGAGGCTTGTTGATAGGCAAAGTGTAGTTGACACCATTGAGACTAAATTTTCCCTCTTTGATCCGATTTGCCACACGACCAACTATGCACCCAAAGTATGGTGCAAGCCCTTTCTGTAACAATCATATAAATGTATATAAATTCACACACAAATTCATTGCCATTGTTACAAAGTCCATATTATTTTGATTGTTCATCACAAATTCATTCAACAAGATACATGACCATATATAGTTCTTAACAAAATTATTCAGATACTATTCATAGGATCTGTTGTTGCTAATAACAGAATCTATCCACCATAAGTGTTTGAATTTTGAGATCAAACACATCCAGAGACCAGAGGCAGTGATAAGTGTTTTTGATCAGATCGGATTGAATCTATGTCGAGATCAATCCAAAGAATAGGTGAATTCGAGAGAAATTACCACATATGGATCCACCGAGTCGAATCCGAGAACTACATCAGCCAATTTCCCTTCAAATAAGAAAAACAAACTCGACAATCAGAGGATTAGGATTTGGAGACAAAACAGAGATCATCACAGGAAGGAGGAAGAAGAGAACTAACCGTTCTTGTCGGGAACAGACAAGGAGGTGATGGTGGTGCCGTAGTTTGAGATCTTGACCTGCATGGTGCCATTGTTAAGCTCGAAGATCTGTGGAGTGTTCTTGCTCTGATCCGCCATTAGAAGATTAAATGAAAAGTTTTAAGATTAGAAGCCAAGTGATTTGGATTGAGAAACAAAACAAAGGGGAAGTGATCAGATTTGGTTAAAAGAATTACAAAACCAAAATCGTAAATCACTCGTAACTGATCAGTGTTGACGTCATCTACATCCCAAACTACTTATCCTGTTCTTTTTTTTCGTTATTTACCACTTTAGAGCATTTCTCAACTTATTTTTCTTTTTAAAATCAATTTACAATCCAAAAGTTACCAACTAAAATCCGAAACTATAGAGAGAAAGAACAAATATAGAATTTGGATATAATTTTCTAATTATCAACGATATTGATAAAGTTATATACAGTAAGTTTTAAGAACCAAAATTATTTTTTGATTAGTAAGTTATCAAATCAAAAAATTGATAAGTTGGATTATATGCTTTTTTGACAAGAAGAGGAAGGAAAAAGATATTATCAGTTAAAAAAGGAAAAGAAAAAAAATACTCTATACACTATCGTAATTCGTAACAGAGTATTCGCGTGAATTTAGATGTTGCTCTCTACCCTTTTTCAGGTATCCTATGAAAAAAAACAATAGAACCTAGAAAAGCTAACTTTGTAATTTATTTTCTTCTCGTAAACTTCGATTTGCTCTCAACCATCCAGTGCCAGCATTTGTGAGGCCCTATACGAAAAATAAAATGAGGTTCAATATATTTATAAGTTTTAAGGCTAAAATTTTCTTTTGATCTATTTTTAGTAAATTATACAAAAATAATGATATTTTGAATATTATTACATTCAAATTTAATTGTTTGGGCCCTATTTTATTTATTTTTTTTCGAAAAAAACTTTACTTTATACCAAATATTTTCATTTTCTAGACTTTTTATCAAAAAAAAAACCTTTAAAAAAAAAAATTGTGGTGCCCCAAGCCACTGCTTGGGTAGCCTGTCCTGGCCGGCCCTCACCATCCAACATGTACCAGTTTTTACCCAAATGTTACAAAAAAAAATGTTTCGATAAAAGATTTTGATTATTCCCGTAACTAGATAAATAAAAATATCAAAGCTCTCTGAGACATGGAAAGAAATAGTGTAACAGATGGCAAAGAGGACTTTAGCTTAAAGAAGCACAATCATTTCAAAAAGCAAATCATTTGTCACTTTCTTCTACTTCTTCACCTATCATCCCCAAAAACACTTTCCTTTTTCTCTCATTAAGAACTCCCCCTTTCCGACGTCGTTTTAGCTAATTTAGTGACACAACCCCTTTGAGACCAGCCATTACAGAGATGCAAGATCCTCATGTGCCATCTTCTCCCACCATCTCCTCCGTCTCTTCCTCCGATCTTGATACCGAGGTCAGTTCCTACAATCTTAAACTTAGTAGAGCATCTAATTAATCTGCCTAAGCATATAGATTGAGATTCATTTCTTCTTGTGTTTTCCAAGCTACCCATAAAGTATCAACCTTTAATTAGAAAACTAGTTTAAAGTTCCAAAGGTTATGTTGCCCAGAAACATATACTTGTTAGTTTTAATTTGTTTGTTTATTGGTGATGTGAGGATTTAGTCTACAGGATCGTTCTTCCATGACAGAAGCATCACACTGGGAACGCTTATGGGATTTAGTTTCACTGCAACTATGCCGATGCCATTTAGAGCTTCTTCGCACCGCCACGGCCACGTGTCACCCTCCGTCGCAGTCTCACGAGCTTCCAGCTCCAATGCAAGACGCCACCACCAGAGGAAGCGTCCTCCTTTAAATTCGGCTGAGCCTCATCAGCGGCATCGCCGTCGCAAGTGGTGGCGCTTTTGCCGAGATGACGATGACGACGCCGGAATCCACCGTGCCACCGGAGATTCAAAGCGGTCATCGCTCGGGGAATATCTAGAGGTGGAACGGAGGTTTGGAGATGAAGCCGTTTACAACTCCGCCGAAGCAGAGTTAGAGGGTGCGGTGGTGGCGCGGTACCAAGATCAGCAGCCGGTGATGGGGGAGCGGGCATTGTTCTCTGACGGAAGGGTTCTTCCTCCGGCTTCAGTTGAAGCTGTTACCGGAGAAGGTACGCCGGTGGCCTCGGCTCTTTGTAGATTCCCGGTTTCTTTAACCGGTATATGCAGTGGTGGCGGAGGATAATTACGTCGGTTCATGTGTGTGTGTGTTTTGTTTTAGTTCTTCTTTGTATTTAGACTTAAAATTGAATCATTGTTTGTGGAAAATATAACATGATGATGTAGTCATTGTCAAAATAATTTATTTGATAAATAATTTATTTGATAAATAATGATTGATAAAGAGAATTATGAAGGATTACATGGTAATAGTACATGCACAGCTTTTGGTGAAAAATAAAGGGAAAAAATCCGAAAAATACTTCATCTATTTTTTACTTGGATGTTTAATACCTAACTTTTTTTTTTGTTAGAAGAAAAATACCTTCTTTAATTATAATTGGTCGAAATTGATATGTTGATATGTTGATATGTTGATAGGAACCGGATTGATATGTTGATAGGAACCGGATTGATATGTTGAAGAATGATGAAGGGACATGGGTGTCAAATGGACCAGAATTGGAGAACTTAGCGACTGCGTACTTTAAGAGGCTCTATTCTTTGGATGATGTGAACCAAATAGTAGAGAAGCTTCCTCCCACAGGCTTTGTACGTTTAACACATGACGACAAGTTGACGTTGAGCAAACCGTTCACGCCAATGGATGTAGAGAGCGCGATACGGAGTATGGGGAAGTATAAAGCGCCGGGACCAGACGGGTTTCAACCGGTTTTCTATCATCACTGTTGGGATGTGGTTGGCGAGTCAGTGGTAAAATTTGTCTTGGAATTTTTTGGGACAGGTTTGTTGCCGCAAGAAACGAATGACGCGATTGTGGTGCTTATAGCAAAAGTTATGAAGCCGGAGAAAATAACTCAATTCAGGCCTATTAGTCTCTGTAACGTTTTGTTCAAAACGATTACTAAGACCATGGTAGGTAGGCTGAAAGGGGTTATGACGAAGTTGATTGGTCCAACTCAGTCCAGTTTCATTCCAGGGAGGTTAAGTACGGATAATATAGTGATTGTCCAGGAAGCAGTGCACTCTATGTGAAGAAAAAAAGGTTTGAAGGGATGGATGTTGTTGAAGCTTGATTTGGAGAAAGCCTACGATCGAATAAGGTGGGATTTCTTAGAGGATACCTTAACTACAGCAGGTCTCTCGGACGTTTGGGTGAATTGGATAATGCAGTGTGTTTCGGGGCCGTCGATGAGTTTGTTATGGAATGGAGAAAAAAGAGAGGCTTTTAAACCACTGAGAGGATTACGCCAAGGAGATCTGTTGTCACCGTATTTGTTTGTGTTGTGTATGGAAAGATTATGTCACTTGATTGAAGGTGCCATTGAGGAGAAGAAATGGAAGCCGATTAGTTTATCGAGAGGAGGGCCTAAGCTATCTCATATTTGCTTCGCGGATGACTTAATCTTATTTGCAGAAGCTTCTGTGACTCAAATTCGGGTGATAAGAGGAGTTTTGGAGAGGTTTTGTAAGGCGTCGGGACAAAAGGTGAGTCTTGAAAAATCAAAAAATTTCTTCTCTCAAAATGTGTCCAGAGAGTTGGGGAAGTATTTGGGCATGCCAATCCTTCAGAAAAGAATAAATAAAGACACTTTTGGAGCCGTTCTGGAGAGAGTCTCGTCAAAACTCTCAGGTTGGAAGGGGTGTATGTTAAGTTTTGCGGGCCGTATCACATTGACTAAGTCGGTTTTATCTTCAATCCCGGTTCATACGATGAGTACAATTCAGCTGCCAATGAATACTCTCCGAAAACTGGATAGAATGTCAAGGGATTTTGTGTGGGGAAGCAGTCCCGAGAGGAGAAAACAGCACCTAGTGGCATGGAAACAAGTGTGTCGGCCAAGAGGAGAAGGAGGATTGGGTATCCGACGAGCTTGTGAGATGAATAAAGCATTGGTAGCCAAAGTGGGGTGGCGTTTGATGCATGATAAGGGCAGTCTTTGGGCTAAGGTGGTGCGAAGCAAGTATAAAATTGGTGAATTACAAGATCCTTCTTGGTTGCGGGTTAGGAGTACTTGGTCCTCTACCTGGAGAAGTGTGAGTATGGGATTGCGGGAAGTTGTTTTAAAAGGACACAGTTGGGTTCTTGGAGATGGAAGGAAAATAAGATTTTGGAAAGATAATTGGTTGTGGGGAAGACCAATGGTGGATATGTTAACTGGTAACCTCCCAGAATAACATATGAATTTATCGGCTCGGGATCTTTGGGTCGATGGAAGCGGCTGGGATTTGTCGAGAATTACACCGTTTGTTACGGAGGAGCGCCGGTTGGAGTTGGTAGCAATAGTATTGGATAATGTAACCGGCGCGAAGGATAGGTTGTCTTGGAGTGAAAATTCGGATGGACAGTTCACTGTGAAATCCGCATATGAACTCTTGACGAGAGATCATTCAGCACGACAACATATGGAGGGTTTTTATAAGAATGTGTGGCGAGTGGTTGCTCCGGAAAGAGTTAGGGTGTTCTTGTGGTTAGTTGGGAATCAGGCGCTTATGACAAATGCGGAGAGGCAGAGACGACATTTGTGTGATACTAACATATGTCAAGTATGTAAATGAGGAGTGGAAACTATACTACATATACTTCGCGATTGTCCGGCTATGGCCGGAATTTGGGTTCGTTTGCTGCCCACGAGAAGGAGACAAAACTTTTTTGCTACATCCTTACTCGAATGGATTCATGGGAATTTAGGACAGCAAGGTGAAATGTTGGATGGTGATGGTCCGTGGGCAACTCTCTTTTCACTAGCGGCTTGGTGGGGGTGGAAATGGAGATGCGGTAATGTTTTTGGTGAGAACCGGGTTTGGAAGGTCAGAGTGAGATTCCTTAGAGAGTTGGCGAAAGAAGTCCGAGAAGCCAATGATGTGAGTGGAGAGCGTTTAGGGCCAGTGGTACGGGTGGAGAGGTTGATAAGGTGGAAGGCTCCTCAAGAAGGTTGGGTAAAACTTAATACGGATGGTGCTTCTCGTGGAAATCCAGGGCTGGCCACGACGGGTGGTGTATTGAGAGATTGTCAAGGAAATTGGTGTAGAGGGTTCACCTTGAATATATGCCGCTGTTCAGCACCCTTAGCGGAACTTTGGGGGGGTGTACTATGGGCTTTATATTGCTTGGGAACAGAGGATTACTCGGTTGGAGGTGGAAGTAGATTTGGAGTTGGTGGTAGGCTTTCTAACGACAGGGATTGGGGAGGCTCATCCGCTGTCCTTCCTGGTGCGTTTGTGCCATGGCTTTCTCGTAAAGGACTGGATTGTCCGTATTTCGCATGTGTATAGGGAAGCTAATCGCCTTGCGGATGGATTAGCTAACTATGCATTTTCGTTGCATTTGGGTTTTCATGCTTTAAATTTGGTTCCGGCGGAGGTTGCTCCAATTTTGCGGGAAGACGTTGATGGACCTTTTCATTCACGTTTAGTCCCTTTGTAGTTTCTTTTTGTTTTCTGAATAATACTCCGGGAGATTTCTCCCGGTGACTCACCAAAAAAAAAAAAATTATAATTGGTCGAAAAATACCTTATTTTTAAATTGTTGGTAGATTCAAACCTCTGATTTAACGGTCGTTAACGGACGTAACGATATCAGTAAACGAAGTTAAATTATAACAGAAAAATAGCCGAAAAATATCCAATCTAATTATTTTTGGAATTTTAATACCCCAACTTTTTGGTTAGAAGAAAAATACCTCATGTAAAATATCTTTGTCTAAAAATACTTCATTTTAAATTATTAGTGGATTCAAGTATGCGACTTAACAATCGTTAACAATATTACAGAAACATTTAACGACGTTAAATATTAACCTTGTGTATATAAATAGATATATACAATTTATTTTCAAAATTTTACAAATATATTGGTGTGATCAAAACTCAATATTACTTCGTTAATACGATCAAAACTCAATCTTTCTCGAACCATTTCTTTCATCTCTCCACTTTTACCTAAATTCTTCTCCACTTCCGCAACTATGCTACTCCACGACCACAAAAATGACAAATCTATCGTCGTCGTCATCTTTGTCACAATCTCTCATTTGTTAGTTGCAGAATCGTTACACTCCATCATCAAAATCACTATCACAAAAACCCTTCTAACTCCAACGATGCCTTTAGGAATGAAAAATGATGTATTTAAATTTGTAGGAGTGAAGCAAATGATGTATTTAAATTTGTATGTCATTCATTAAAGAAAATAGGAGATCAAAAGAAGTTCTATGTGGGTTAAAAATTATACGTGTTACCATTAGATCAAGTAGTATATTTGTAAAAGTTTGTATAAATATTGTATATACTAACAATTCAAAAATGAGGTATTTTTAGACAAAAAAATATTTAAATGAGGTATTTTTCTTCCAACCAAAAAGTTTGGGTATTAAAAATAAAAAAAATAAATAGATGAAGCATTTTTGGGCTATTTGTTTTGTTATAATATAACGTCGTTTACTGATACCGTAACGTCCGTTAACGACCGTTAAATCAGAGGTTTGAATTTACCAATAATATAAAGATAAAGTATTTTTCGACCAATTAGGCAATTATAATTAAAGAAGATATTTTTCTTCCAACAAAAAAAAGTTAGGTATTAAACGTTCAAATTAAAAATATAGGGTATTTTTCGGGTCTTTTCCCGAAAAATAAATGAGATAAGTTGGAAGTTAGTACGTTTGATTAATCACAACTCGCAAATAAAAACTATAACTGGAACACATCCTCTATAACTCTTTTTTCACTTGAGTTTTATTTGAAATGCTAAATTTTGTTCTATCATCTTGAGTATTTGCTTCAAATTATTTCAACCATACATCTTTATACGTCAGTCTTTGGACAGTAATTTGACCAAATCAGATTTTGAGGCAAACACTATGATTTTGGCCAAGAGTGTACCACATTCCTAATATCATACTAACATATTACTAGAAACTATTTATATTAACCACAAATCACCCTCATAACATAACTACGAAGCAAAATTATCGAACAAGTGAGTGGACACACACATAAGAAACCGAAATTACGGAAAAATGTTTGTTATGACTTATGTGTATCTATATTTTATAGCAATTCAATTAACAAAAAAAAAAAAACGTCAAAACAAGAAAATTAGTTTTTTTTTTCTTTCTGTGACAACGTGAATAATTAAAAATTGTTGACAAAACAAAAATTTAAAATAAACCCTCGAGTGATGTTAAAAAAAAAAAAAAGGAAAAAGATAAAAAGCTGAAGCAACGCAACACACAAAACAAAAATCTTTGGCGTCCTTCTCCTTCCTTAGGGTCTCTCTCTCTTATCTTAAGCAGCAGCAGCAGCAGCAAAAAAACGTCATCGATGGCGTCTCAAGCTGCGAATCTATGGGTTCTTCTAGGTTTAGGTCTCGCTGGGATTCTTATGCTTACCAAGAAGCTGAAGAAGACCGTCCGTGAAGATTTCGGCGCTTTTATCGATAAACTCTTGCTTCTTCCTCCTCCGCAACCTGCTCCTCCCAAAGCTCCTCATCCTCTCACCGGCCTAACCTTTGCCGTTTCCGACGTGTGAGTCTCCGTTGACTTGTTTCCCCCTTTCTTCTCCGGCTCCCCTATATGTTTATGATTTTAAAATTGGGGATTTTAGGTAGGATAGTCAAACTTTTGTTTGACAAAGATTGGAATCTCCGTTGACTCCGTTCTTAATCTTCTCCGGCGCATTATATCTCTGCTCGTGAGCTTTCGAGAGTACGGTTGATTGATTTTGACTGGAAATTTTGTCTGTTGTAGATTCAAATGTGTGTGTGTGTGTGTGTCTGCTAGTTCTGTCAAACACATTTCAAATCGATACTAGCTGATTTTATATGAACTTTCAAACTGCTCTTTTCATTGGAAGACTCTATGGTTGAATCTTTGGAGATAGTGTTTGTATGTTTTGGATTCATCACCAAGTTTGGATGAAAATCATGTTTAGAGAGTGTTTGACCTCGACTTATATCCATGGAGTCTACTTAAAACAGTCTCAACATGTTGATTGACTAGGAAATATTTATCTAATATTTGTGTATATCTCATTCTCTTCTATGATCATTTTTGAAGTTCTTGAAAAGCCAAATTTACTCTTTCTTAATTTCACATTTGTTTTCCAGGTTCGATATTACAGGGTATGTGACTGGCTTTGGTCATCCAGACTGGGTCAGGACGCATGAAGCTGCTTCTTCAACATGTCCTGTGGTTTCAACTCTCGTTGAAGGTGGAGCCACTTGTGTTGGAAAAACTGTAGTTGATGAACTTGCGTTTAGGTTTGTCTCTGCTTTCGATTATTAATGTTAAATTGTTTCCTGAATCAGGATTCAGATAATGTATTGTGATTCCAGTGTTGAAAATGTTATTTTATCAGGGTGTGTAAGTATATTAATCCCTTTGTTTTGCGGTTTTCATTTTCTTCAGTATCAGTGGAGAAAACAAGCATTACAATTCACCTACAAATCCTGCAGCTCCTGCTCGTATTCCTGGTGGCGCTTGCAGTGGAGCTGCTGTAGCCGTAGCAACCAATGCTGTGGATTTTGCTTTAGGTGAGTTCAGTAGATACTTTTTTCCTTGTTTTAGAAACAAAACATTGCATAAACTTTCAAAACAGGTTCAATAGTTTTCTTCCTTTAGGAAATTTCTGAAACGATTCTACACTTGTTTAATATATACATGCTATATTCATCAAAACTTCCACCATATTGCAGTTTCAAACAAGATGTTGCTGTCACTATTATTTAGGTCACTTTTGCATGCATACTGCTGTCACCATAAACGTGATAGTGAAGGCTTAGAAGGGGATGTAAGAATCACTAAACCAAAACACACTCTCCTATAAACTTTGAGTTACAGTAGAAATGAGATAAATCCCAAAAGAGAACCAAACCCCAACTTTTCTTTATACGCATTATCAAACAGGTCGAGTTGAACTTATTTGACATCTAATAGAATTGCTTGATTTAGACTCTTATGGCTATATGGTAAGATAGTTCCATGCGGATTTACATGCTAGCCTGTCATTGGCTCCTCCTATCAATATCTTAAATCTCAACTGTTTACTGGTTGGTTCGGTTTCAATTGTTTTCAGAATATAGTTTTGACTACTTGCATCATTGCAGGCATCGACACAGTTGGTGGGGTCAGAGTGCCTGCTGGATACTGTGGCGTTCTTGGATTCAAATCTTCTTATGGGGCTATTTCAAACACCGGAATCATACCAGTATCTTCAAGTCTTGACTCTGTTGGTATGGATATATAAATCTTTGAATTATACTGTTTGTGGTGGAATGATTTGGATCTTATATAGGCTAGGTTTCAATTGTTGTATAATCACATTGCAAGATGCCTTCGTTCATATGACTAATTTATATTTAGCACCATTAAATGAACATTACGTTGATTCTGATCAATAGATATTGGCTTCAGGATGGTTTGCCCGCGATCCAAACACCCTACGTCGTGTTGGCCATGTACTCTTGCAACTTCCATTTGCCACTCAACGGAATCCAAGGCAAATCATATTAGCTGATGACTGTTTTCAGCTGTTACATATCCCTGTGGACCGGATTACCCAGGTGGTGATCAAATCAGCTGAAAAGCTTTTTGGAAGTATGCCCTTTGCTCTTCCTGAAGATCCTCCAGTCTCTGTTACATATTCTGATTATAACAGCATGACCCTTTGTTTTATATTTAGGACAATTGCTGAAGCATCAGAACTTGGAGAACTATCTTGAAACTAAAGTTCCTAGCTTGAAAGAGTTCGCTAGGACAAAAGCCATTGCTAACACGAAGGTCTCAACATCGAAACTACTGGCGAATGTGATGCAGCTACTTCAAAGGTGTACCTAAGTTTATTCACCTACAGATGATGAGAGAATGTTGGTTTTGAACTCTAAAACGATCTTGGCATTGTAGGCACGAATTTCTTCAAAATCATGGGGATTGGATCAACACAGTGAAGCCAGCCATTGATCCTGTGATTTCATCACAAGTGTGTGAGAACCCAGAACTAACCAATGAAGAGATTGAAAACCTGAATGCAATCAGAAACGAGACTCGAGTGGCTATTGGTTCACTTCTCAAGGTATTCCTGCTCTTCCATGACATGTCCACAACTTGAGCGAGTTAGTTTATATGTGTCTGGACTAATCTCTAATTGTTCCCAACTCTGTAAAATTATGCATCAAGGATGATGGCATTCTGGTTGTTCCAACAATGCCAGCTGTTCCTCCAAAACTTGGTAGCAAAGAGATATCCTCTGAAGACTATCAAAACCGAGCTTCAAGTCTGCTTAGCATTGCTAGCATTTCAGGATGTTGTCAGGTAAAATCTCTCTCTTTCACACTCTCACCTGACATGCTAGTGTAGATGATGTCAAAATGACCTTTTTCCCCTCACACATATCAAAAGCAACCCAGTCAGCATTAAGCAAACCCAATCCACACTGTATATTCTTACATTTACCGTACTGATGACAGGTGACTGTGCCACTTGGACATCATATGAAGTGCCCTGTTTCTGTTTCTTTCATAGGAAGACACGGTGGTGACCGCTTTTTACTAGATACGGTGCAGACAATGTATGCATCTTTGCAAGAGTACTCGAGCATTGTTGCCGATCCCAAATCTGCTAAAAAGACTATCAGCAAAGAAGAGTCAGCTGAGATTGCCAAAGAGAAGGTCAATTAATTCCCATTGCAGGTCTCATTTTCTTAATGGCATTATCATCCTTAATCTAATGTGTTTTTTTATCTGTGTCCCATGATTATGTAAATCAGGGTAACCAAGCATTCAAAGATAGACAATGGCAAAAAGCTATTGGTCTTTACTCAGAAGCTATAAAGCTAAGTGACAACAACGCTACCTATTACAGTAACAGAGCTGCTGCATATCTTGAAGTTGGAGGGTAATTGTTTCTCTGATCCTTAAAAACATTTTTAGTGAGCAATCTTTCCATGTGGCATTGCCCTGACAAATCACTTACATACAGCTTTCTTCAAGCCGAAGAAGACTGTACCAAAGCCATCACCCTTGACAAGAAGGTACCTTTCTACAAAACACAGAAGCAGGTTTCTTTTGTAATAACACTCTTTGCTTTTTGTTAGAACACTCAACACAAAGATCGTTTTTGTTTTTCAGAACGTCAAAGCCTATTTACGAAGAGGAACCGCAAGAGAAATGTTAGGCGATTGCAAGGGAGCCATAGAAGGTAAGCTTTTAAGGAAACAGAATGTGATTGGTTTTCCCCTTGTAAAATCTGGTAAAAAAACACTCAGAGATTTGTTTTTTCTTCTTCTTTTAAACTCTGCAGATTTCAGATACGCACTTGTGCTGGAACCAAACAACAAACGAGCGTCTCTATCAGCAGAGAGACTGAGAAAACAATTCTAGTGAGTAGTGAGCTTCTTTTGTCAGTGCCTCACCGATCATTGAGAAAACGTTTGTTCCTTAGAATTTCTCCAAGAGTATAGGCCAATTTTGTTTACACTTCTGTTTTGCGTCTGATATTTAGGCATTTTATCTAGAGATATACCTTTTGCAAGTCCCGCCGAGAATGGAAAATTATAATATCCAATGTTTATTTTAAACGTTCTCTAAAATTGGATATCGAAAAGTAAAGTAATCGTAAACACCGGATACCGGAATTCCCGGTCGACTTCTAGTCAATGTCAAATAAGGTCATGTCTTTAATTATCTCGTCTTTATCAATTTCTTCTCTCGCACGTTACCTCCTCCCCACAACTCAAAAAAAAAAAAAAAAAAAAAAGAGAAGCAAGAAACCAAAGCGACCTGCCCTAATCTTTAGCGATGATAGTTTAAACGGAACGAAACTTGACGAAGAAACTAAAGAGACACATTTGAATCATCTTCATAGGTGAGTCAATTCGATTAATTTTCTTACAGAAAGTTTGAGAGAGATTACAATGTTTCATAATGGGTTTGTCTTCACGTGTGTGTTGTTGCAGCGTTAAAAAATAAAAATATAAAATCGTAGAAAGTGAGAAAGAAAGAAGATAATCGGGGAGATTTAAAAAAGGAAATGACAACGGCGTGTCCGGCGAGGACAAGCTCACTAATGGACGATCTCTTGGGCCTCCTTAGAATCCGCATCAAACGTGGCGTCAATTTAGCCGTCCGTGACATCAGTAGCAGCGATCCTTACGTCGTCGTCAAAATGGGCAAACAGGTTTGTCTATTCACCAAAAAAATTACAATTTTCACAGCGTTCATTACATCAAAAACATTCTCAAATTATCATAAATTAAATTTTACAGAAATTGAAGACTCGTGTCATTAACAAAGATGTAAATCCAGAATGGAATGAAGATTTGACTCTCTCCGTCACAGACTCCAATCTTACCGTCCTCTTGGTATTTTTTACATAAACATACATGAATTTTCTTATCATATGATGCTGTGTATATTGATAAAAACTATAATGTTATATGTAGACGGTGTACGATCACGACATGTTTAGCAAAGACGATAAGATGGGTGATGCTGAGTTCGAGATAAAGCCGTATATTGAGGCTTTGAGGATGCAGCTTGATGGACTTCCTAGTGGAACCATTGTGACCACGGTTAAGCCAAGTCGTCGCAACTGTCTTGCCGAGGAGTCACGTGTCACATGGGTCGACGGCAAGCTCGTCCAGGATCTCGTTCTCAGATTGCGACATGTGGAATGCGGAGAGGTCGAGGCTCAACTTCAATGGATTGATCTCCCTGGCTCCAAGGGTCTATGAATCTTTTTTCTTTTTTTCTTATTCACCGTTACTTTGAGTTGTTTTCTTTCAAATTGAACTAAACCAAGTAACAGCATGGAAAAAAAAACAAGTATTTCAATCTTGAAGGATATAGCTAATGAACTATAAACGCGTATTAATCCATGGGAATATAAGGATTAAGAACATTGAGGGAAGTTTTGTTCCCATATGGTGATCGAGTCCAAGTCGAGTGAGTCATGGTGGGCATGTAAATGCGGTGTATTGTTGATGTGTATATTTGGGCTAGCTATGCCTTAAAGAAGGCTATTAACACGAACAACTAATACATACATCTTATTTATTTAATTATTGTTCCATATAGTTATGAATATTAGATTGTTTTAACACGCAAGTCAGGTAATGTTTATAGGTAAAAAGGGAAAAAAGAAAAGACCAGCGTAGTTGTTTCCTACCATTTACCATCGACATCGATAGGCCCTCTTATCAACCATTGACATTGGAGGTTTATGTGTACGTTACTGAAGCACAACTTACAAGATTCACCTCTAAATTAACGCTAATTATACAGTCTATAAAATAAAACACGTGAAAAGGGATGGTAGGTGAAGAGAATCCAGATGCACACTAATGAGTGAAGCACCATGGCCTTAAAACGACAAGACACGTGAGCCATAATTGTCCTTTACTATATGAGTGGCACCGTGACTTTACAATAATGTGGCAAATGACCGTGACACGAGTGAAGTAGTATATTTTTCTCTATTTAATAAAGTAAAAGATTCGACTGTAGTATGTAGTATTGAGATATTTTCTCATTTTATTAAGGGGTTTTGATAGATCCCAAGGGACCCAAATCTCGGTTCCCAATGAACGATCTAGAGATTCCCCTTCCACCAACTCCCCAAATTACTCAACTATTTTTCCCAAAAACGACGATTTGTTTCCAAGTTACATTCATCAAAAAATTGGTATGTTCTTGAAATATGATGGATTTTAATCTAATCGGCCCCCTAGATTTTCTACTTAGCCCCCGTTATAAATTTCTTTTATTTATTTATTTATTTTAAATCAAATATTTAGTAAAAGTCAATAAAATCTAAGCTTTTAGACATAATTACAGACTCAACCTAAGTTTGGATCTCTATCCACATATATTGGATCTCACTGTTGGATCTTTTAATCCCAAATCCTCAAAATCGACGTCTGAATCCCTAACATTAATTTTTTTTTTCTCTCTTGAAGAACGACAAACTTGAAGAACCCACCAAATCCCTCCGTCGTTCTTCTCTCGGAGCTCTACTCTACTCTCGTCGCCGGCAAACCTCCTCTTCTTCCCTATTCTCTCCTTTTTTCGATCTTCATTCTTCTTTCTTCTCGTTGGAAATCCACCGTGAGAAATCCAAATTCATGTTCATCCGTGTCCTCTCTTTGTAAGCTACGAATTCTCCATTCTCGTCCGTTCTTTTGTTTGATTTATATTTTGGATGGATTGAGTTGGGTTTTGTTTTGTGAAAGTGATGGATTTTCATATTTGAATTTGTCCTTGTTTTCGGATATTGAATGTTCGAATATGAATTTGGCCCAAATTTCAAACTTGAATTTATCTCTATTTTTGGGTTTGAATTTTTCCCTTAGATAGATTCAAAATGTGTTTAAATGTGTTTCGGATTTCGGATTCGGATTTGAAATGTGTTGAAAACAAACTTTATCTCTTATAATTATGTAGATAGATAATGAGATTGTGTGAATTTGTGTTTGGATTGCTTATTTATCTCTTTTTGTTTAGATGATGAGATTATGAGAGTATGCAAAACAAAGATTTAAGCAATGTTCTAAGAAGAAATGTTAGTTGGCACCGAAAAGGATAGTTAAGCCTTCAATTCATGTCAACGAACCGTATACGGAAGAAAAGATGAAGATGGAGATCGAAGGAGAAGAAGAAGGTCTCTTGGTGGTTTTAGATATATTGTATGGTTTTTGATACCACTGTGTTGGTGTTTTGGCTTTAGGTACAAATGTTCGGATTGTGTTTTGGTTTATAAGGTTATGTATGAATCTAAGTGTTTAGGTACAACTGATACGAACAGGTACAACTATGTATCTGGGTTTATAAATCTAAGTGTTTAGGTACAATTGTTCAGATGTGTTTTGGTTTCTAAGGTTATGTATGAAGCTAATTGTTTAGGTACAACTGGTACGATCAGGTACAACTATGTTTCTGGGTTTATGTTTTTTGGTTAAAAAAACTATCTAATTATATATGTATCTTTGAATCTGAATCTTAATATTTTTATGTATGAATCTATGTATTGAATATAATCTAAGAGTTTTGAACCAAAAAAAAAATCTTAATTTTTCAAAAAATCTGACAAATATGTAGGTTTTAAGGGCTTTTATTAAAAAAAAAAAAACAGTTAAATATCTGAAAATATCTGAAAGAATCTAAAGATATCTCAAAATATCTAAAAAAATCTGACAAATAGCTTACCTGGCGCCGTTATTTTGAAAAAATAATTAAAAATAGCACAAATTTGTTCATAGTTGTACAGTTGTACCCGGTTGCACATTTTTGCTCATAGTTGTGCAATATAGAGAATTTAGTAAATCTAGCTGTTATCAACTCTAGTTTAATTTTTGTGGGTGGAACCGATGATATTGCCTCATAAAAATACCATTACTTTGTATCTGTGTATTTATATTTATCAAAAATACAAGTATTTCAAAAATTTATAAAATTTTAGTTCAAAACTACAAAGTAACCATGAAGTATAAGGTTGTTAGTGTATGAATGTGAGATTTTATGTAAGAATTTCATTATTTTAGAAAATTTTGAAATTTTTTGTCAAAAACTTGTTGTGTAGTTTCATTACCATCGTGTATGCATTATTTTAGGTTTTTCAATTTGGTTTTAATTTTTCATTTAATAAAATTGGCCAAGGCAATAGACCTTAGTTGTACCTGTTGTACTTAGTTGTACCAAGACTGAACAACTTAATTTGCACAGCTACGACAATATCGTTTCTTAAATTATCCTAATAAATAGCACTCATAAAACTTAGTTGTACAACACAGAACATATAAGTTTCATAAACAAAACCAATACAAACAATATCGTTTTTTAAATTATCCTAATAAATAGCACTCATAAATCAACCTTGGTCACCCGCATCGTTTCCATCAACGTCACCATCATTGGTAAACCACTCGCCCAAACCGCTCGATCCATGCGACCTCTTCTTACGTCCTCTTCTTCTATGTTCTCCAACGGAGATGAATCTTGTTTCTTGTCTTCTTCCTTGTTTTACCTCATAATCCGGAGGATAGGCAAACAGTTGCATTATCTCCTCAGGAAGAACCCATTGACTATTATGGAGAACCGGATAGTCCCCCTTTCGATTTATTCATAAGAAAAGAATGCACTTCTTCATCTTCTCCATTAGAAATCCAATGTACATCTTCTCTGATACTTGTATAGTCTCCGTCATAAGCAAAGGGTATGACTGAATTCCTTTTCATTGTCCCTGAAAAAGACTGAGAGAAAAAACGGCCTATAATTTCACAACTTCCGTAGCAGACCATTAACATAGTTGTACACATTTGTCTCAGTTGCACCAAACTTAGGGTTTCCGTAAATATTCTACTTAGTTGTACACAGTGGTTCCAGTTGTCCCAAATCTGCAAGTCTCGTAGGGTTTAATATCGTAAAATGTGAGATATTTAATAGGTTTGTTTTTTTAATGAGAGAAGAGAGAGAAAGTTTTTGATTGGTTGAATAAAAAATGTGTTGGTATTAAATTAAATGTAAAATTAAAGGGATAAAGGGTAGAATTGGTTTATGAAAAAATTGGGAAGGAGAGGAGGTAGTGAGAATAAAGAGGGGTTTTCCAAAAATTGATTTCCCCGCTGGAGAGATTTAAATCCAAATATGATAATATATCTAATATAATTTATTTTTCAGAAGTTGCAATTTAACACTGTAAATACAAATATATCAACATATTTTACCAAAAATAAAATAGAATATATCAACATATAAATGCAAATGTAGTAAAAAATATATATTAACCATAAGTGACAGCATAACTAAAATACGCTTATTATTATTACCGGTTTTGACCAAAACAAAAAGAGAGAGAGATTTTTTAATTACCGGCTGATTTTAATTTTACAGTCTGTAAGGAGCCGAACTCGAAGGTAACGCCACCGTTTTCCACCTATAAAAAAGGGCGCGCAACATCACTTTCGTTCACTCTTGGGGCTCAGATCTGAAAACCTTATCCGAAATCTTCTTTTTCCCGACTCGACGGTGTGAATTGATGCAGCAGAGAGGACGATCCGTCAACCGCAGATCACGAAGCTTCTCTAGATCCAGACTCGCCGTCGAAGGCCATTGAATTACTCTCTCCGCAGATCCTTCTTCTTCCGAAATGGCTGCATCGTACGGTGAGATCACTGATTATATACATATATATGCCTCGAATCTCCAATTTCGATCATCGCTGATTGCTTATATTAATCGAAATTGGAGATTAGAGAGAAAAAGAAGAGAATGTGAAATTGATTTGTTGTTTTGTGTGTTTTGGGTGAGAGCAGAGGAAGAGCGTGATATCCAGAAGAATTACTGGATAGAGCATTCGGCTGATTTGACTGTTGAAGCTATGATGCTTGACTCCAGAGCTTCTGATCTCGACAAGGAAGAACGTCCTGAGGTTACCCCGACCTTTTTTTATAAAGACATTTGAATCAGTGAATGATTTTAAGCTCTGGTTTAGATGATTGATACACACTGTTTTTGATTTTAATGTTTTTTTTTTTTTTTTTGTCTCCTTCAAACAACTATTAGAGGCTCAGATATCTTTCAGGTCTAGTTTTGGTTTTTGATGAGTTGATATAAAATTATGCAGGTACTCTCTTTGCTCCCTTCATATGAAGGCAAATCAGTGTTGGAACTTGGAGCTGGTATTGGTCGTTTCACTGGTGAATTGGCTCAAAAAGCTGGTGAACTCATTGCTCTTGACTTCATTGATAGCGTCATCAAGAAGGTTTACTACTTTAATCAATCACCTTCTTCAACTTATAAAGTTTTTCTCTCCTGCCTTGAAATCTTGAATGTTATATTTCTTCTTTCTTGTAGAATGAAAGTGTCAATGGGCACTACAAGAATGTCAAGTTTATGTGTGCTGATGTTACATCCCCTGACCTCAAGATCACTGATGGATCCCTTGACTTGATTTTCTCCAACTGGCTGCTCATGTATCTTTCTGACAAAGAGGTATAATATATCATCTTTTATCCAAGGCAAACATAATCTTCTCTAGCGAGGAACCAATTTAGTTTTTTAACGGTTTTGTTTTGGATTCAGGTGGAGCTTTTGGCTGAAAGGATGGTTGGATGGATCAAGGTTGGAGGATATATTTTCTTCCGTGAATCTTGCTTCCACCAATCCGGGGACAGTAAGCGGAAATCCAACCCCACTCACTACCGTGAACCCCGTTTCTATAGCAAGGTTCCTACTTCTCTTACATCCAATTAAAAGTTACATTTCCAAGACTGCAATTTCAATCATTTAGCGGAAGGACAATGGTTAGAATGCCTATGCTTAAGAATATGTTGAGACTTACGGAAGTTTCAGTGGATTTAAATTGAATGATAAAGGATACATAACCACTTCTTTTCTCTTCTATTGACTGAGATCTAAATGTAATCTTATGCCTTGGTGTTTGTTAGTTTTGGTTTATTGGATATCGATGTAATGTATTGGTCAACAAATATGTAGTTACTTGTTTCCAAATCTATCCAAGCAAATTATTGGAGAACTTAAGTTGATTAAAATAGATGGCGAAACAATGCAGGTCTTTCAAGAATGCCAGACTCGGGATGCTGCTGGGAATTCATTTGAGCTCTCTATGATCGGATGCAAGTGCATTGGAGCTTATGTAAAGAACAAGAAGAATCAGAATCAGGTAAAACCAATACTCTGTCTATCAAGATTGTCTAGTTTCCTATTCTATTTAGATTTAAATCATGGGTAAAATTCTTTGTTATATGGGATGCAGATTTGTTGGATATGGCAGAAGGTCAGCTCCGAAAATGACAGAGGCTTCCAACGTTTCTTGGACAATGTTCAATACAAATCCAGTGGAATCCTACGCTATGAGCGTGTCTTTGGCCAAGGGTTTGTGAGCACTGGTGGACTTGGTAAAAGCTCAATTCGCTTTTGCTTGTGTTGTGTGTGCACGACGTTCTCTGTGTCTTCATTTATCAGTACTTATGTGTGTTTGTCGTGTTTCTTGAATCAGAGACAACCAAAGAATTTGTGGAGAAAATGAATCTGAAACCAGGACAGAAAGTGTTAGATGTTGGGTGTGGCATTGGTGGAGGTGACTTTTATATGGCTGAGAAGTTTGATGTTCATGTTGTTGGTATCGATCTCTCTGTCAACATGATCTCTTTCGCGTTGGAACGTGCTATTGGACTCAACTGCTCGGTTGAGTTTGAGGTTGCTGATTGCACTACAAAACACTACCCAGATAATTCATTCGATGTCATTTACAGCCGTGACACTATTCTGCACATCCAAGTACTCAACTTGATCTCATAGTTCTCTCTTGGAAGTTAATCATTGTGAATGCTTACTCATTTCTCTTTCTTCTTCAGGACAAACCAGCCTTGTTTAGGACTTTCTTCAAGTGGCTTAAACCGGGAGGTAAAGTTCTCATCAGCGACTACTGTAGAAGCCCCAAAACTCCATCTGCTGAGTTTTCAGAGTACATCAAACAGAGAGGATATGATCTCCATGACGTTCAAGCTTATGGACAGGTTTGTCTTGTTTGTCAAAGATATGTGTTTCTATTCTCAAACCTTTTTCTCTAATCCATTGATGACTAATCTTAAATGTAGATGCTAAAAGACGCTGGCTTTACTGATGTGATCGCAGAGGACCGTACTGATCAGGTAAATGAATCTCATATATACAAATATTGAAAGCAAGGACTAGTGTTTTGTAACTGAGTATTTCTTTTATTGTTTTGTATATACAGTTTATGCAAGTCCTGAAACGTGAATTAGACAGGGTGGAGAAAGAAAAGGAAGAATTCATATCCGACTTCTCCAAAGTAAGTAGTATCTTTCAATTTCAAAAGAAATAAAATCTTTCATGTTGTTACAATATTATCTGAAGCTGTCTCTTTTTGAATTCGATGTATCTAACAAAGTTGAATAAACGCAGGAGGATTACGATGATATTGTTGGAGGATGGAAGGCAAAGCTGGAGAGGTGTGCATCGGATGAGCAGAAATGGGGACTTTTCATCGCCAACAAGAATTAAGCAAATCGAAATCTACTACTTTTATGTTTTCTTCTTTCTTTGTTTCTTCAATAAAAATGTCATTTCCGCTAGGTGATGAATATGCATGTAGTTTTATGTGGACTTGTTGAGTGGTGTTAAATCTCTTCCTTATGTGATATGTAAACCGAATTATGTTTGGTCTGGTCTCTTAATTTTTACCATTGATTTGAAGAATTTTCTTAATGCATTTGTGTTAATACATTTTTTCAGTTTTGACTTCAGTTACAGTTTGTTTGGTAGAACCGGAATTTTCAAATGGAATTTTTGGATATAGCTCGGTTCAACTCAAACCGAACGAGGCACATCCTTGATGTGGATTGTGTTTGATTCAGCGTTTAGACAATTTGTCCCTCTATCTAAAAAAAACTAAGACCCCTTTAGGTGTTTTGGGCTTCTAGGCCCCAAATTATTTTATCTAACTGTATTGAAACAGTAACTTGTTTAAGCAATTCAAAACCTAGATCTCATCGAATAGATAGACATATACATTACTGAATTTTGTTTCACAACCTATCTGTATGTTCTTTACTTCTTTTTCCATGGTGGAGAGTTTGTAGGAGAGGCCTGGGAGTAGCAAAAAATAACTAAATTTCGTTTTGAAAACAAAAACATTCCGTAGGGTACCCAATAGCCATAGGACTGTGCAACATAGTGTGTGGATGGAGGTAAAGAAAGAAGAAGAGCCTTGAAATCACACACATTCAAAAGACTAGATTCGTCAGACTCCTCCTATTTAGGTTTTGACCCAACCCTACCCTCTCCTATACACACCTCCTACTGTTCTATTTCTGTATTCAACAGTGTCAATTCCAATCTCTTTTTTCTTCAAAAAAAAAAAAATTCCAATCTCTCTCAGTCAATTTATTTGCAAAATCCATCAACCCATTTTCTTACAATTTTATTATTATCTCCCAATGCTCAACAAAAAAAACCATGTTGGATATTGTATTTGTTAATTTTAGAAAGAAGTCACAAATCTTAATAGCTACGTCCCTCACTCAGTAGCTAGCTAATTAAAATAATATATATACACAGAGAATTTGATGCAGTCTTACATTGTCAGAATACTGTAAATGTAGTGTTGTTAATGTGTGTATGTGTTGTATATTATTTTGTCGACATGTATATATATACGTACACATGTGACATATATATTTTGTAATGTTTGATTATGATGACCTCATGATAAGAGAGATCACTGACAATTATACAATAGAAAGCTTGAAAATAGGCTTTAATCATATCTATTTTGATAAATTGGTACTTCTCGCAAAGAGAGAGAGAGAGAGATACGGTAGAAGAGAATGAATCACATGAAGCATTTAAAACCAAAATAGGGAAAATGCAGAGAGGAGCGGGTGAGTCACAGCCAACCAATGGTCCACCTCATGACTGTCACCATTTTGTCCCTCACAGATACACCCCTCCCTCAGTCTTGTCAATTCTCTCTTCTCTCCCTCTCTCTCTCTTCATTGTTTAGTTTGTCTCTTCCACCGTTGGAGTTATTAAAAGTGTTCAAATTATCAATGGGATTATTAGCACTATTCGACTATTTTTATTTTTAGTGTAGATTTTAGTTACATACTTACATTTTATATATTTATGTACTCTGTGATACATCTAAAAAATACTTATAAATTGGGTTTATTTTAACTAACAATATACAGTATTTGTATTTGTTTCATAATTTTGAATCAGATTTATTGATATATGGATGAGTTTCTTGTTTTAGACTTTAGCTATACAGCTAGGAGTTTCTGTAGCTAGAGACAAATACGAATTACCCACGGAGAAAACCATCATGCATGAATAATGCCACGTATGAATCATCTTGAAATTACCCATCATCTTATTCTTGCAAAATTATTCAAATCATATTATCCTCTAGCTACTATATATTTTATTGTGATTAATTAAGATTCCACGTTTGCCATAACATCACAATTTCCCTGATCGTCAAGTGATGATATATGAATTCTTATTCGTAGTAATCAAATCTTATATGCGTATAGTAGATACACGTCATTGATGATATGACAATGTATCAAAGGAGCAGACAAAGATTTTTTTATGATCCATGGAAATGACCAAAAGATTATACCGTACGATTACACTCTACCATTAATCTTCGTTACAATTCACGAGAAGATTCATGTTTCTTTATTTCCTAACAACAATATCTATTGTTTATACTCCGTTCATAGGATCGTTCGTGTGATAATCTGTTGACTGTATACGCTTACCCATTAATATTTTCTCTTCTTGCTTTTTACTTTTTTCGTATAAAATTGGTTAAAGTGGTGTTTTTGCTTACTTCCATGCTCGGAAGAATCACAAACACACAATCATCATGGAAAAGAAATAAAGCAAATATACAAAGAAGAGGATCATAGGGAATGATAATGCATCAAAATAAGCAGTACAAACAAATAAAATTACCCACGATCTTTCTACTAAAACTATTAATAAAGAAAAAGGTCTCATTGAATCGTACAAAGAGACATAAAAGAATGAATGAATCTTTGGGAAAAGAAAGGAAAGTGTCGGGGCTTCTTCTATGAATAACCTATTCAGTTATTTTTCTTTTCCTTTGTCTTGTCTCTTCTCTACTCTAAAAGTCACTCTTCTTTCCTTTTCTCACGTTCCCACTCTCATATTTTGTCATTTTCCCCATTTAAAATTTATGGTGGCTTGGCTAGCTTTCTTTAAATTCTCATTCGTTAATCAAAAGTGAAGCTTAAATTTAGTTTAAAATGTTGTCAATAAAAATTTAGTTAAAAATGTTGAGTGTTGACAAAAAAATTAGTTAACAATGTTATGCACAAATTTATGTAAATGCAAATACAAACTAAAAATGTTGGTTTATCGAAGAGCTTTTTTTCCCTAAATAATTTTTGTTTTGGTCATAACTTTATCAACGAACTTAATAATTCTTTTGATCATACATTCATACTGGAAATGTTCTGTATGAGTACGTACACATGATGAGAGGACGTTAAATATGAGGAAGATAAATATATATATATAGGAAGACAATGTATATATAAATAGCAAATGTAAAGGCATATTGTTGGTATGCTAGTGAAAAGAAAACAAAACAAGTCCCAAACCAATACAATTTTCCCACTCTCTTTGTCATTTCAACATCAACCCAATTCTTTTTGTCTCTCGCGCATTTATAACTCATAGAAACAGATCCCCACATTGACACATGCATACATATATACACACACCTACATAGATCATGTGTGTGTAGATATTTTTAGGAATAACGCATGAAATTAAAAGATGATGTAGAGTAATAACGAGAATATCTCATCACCAAAGAACCCAAATAGCCTCATTCACCAACCAAATCAAGCAAGTTTCATGATCCAAACCCTAATTCACCACATTCACACAAATGAAAAACTAATGGGAAAATCACATGTCTTTCTATTTTCTTTTCTTTAAAAATTTGTTTGGTTCATTTTTAACAATTAAAGAAAGTGGTCCAAAGTGCATTTTAAGGCAAACCCTTATGAAATGTTAACATCAACACCATAAAGACACGCCTGCCCTTACTCCTAGACAAAACCCTAATTAACCCCTTTTCACTCTTTCTAACTTGGGTGAATAATTAAACTAATCATCTAATAACACAAAAGGGTGTTTCTCTTGAAAGAATTCAATTATGTTTAGTTCTTCATAGGCAGAAACTCATAGAAACAGTGAATACTATTGATCTCCTTCTCTTTCTCACCATCGCTACAAAACCCTTCTTTTCTCAGTGGAAACAGCTCAAGTGTCTGTTCTTGATGATCCGGTTCACCGTTAGAGCAATCTCGTTCTTGATCTTTATTATCATCACAATTTCGACGACAAGTCTCTGTGTTCGCTGCTTCTCTGGTACGTAGAAATACAGGTGAAATCGTGACCGTATCTTTAGCAACAGAAACAGTAATGTTGCTATTGGACATGTTGGAGGAAACAGTAGTTGAATTGAGAATGAGGTTACGTTGATGATGATGATGTGGAGAAGGGTAGAAACCAGGTGGCAACTGCATCATCTGCCACGTGGCGTTTATCCCTAAAACGCTTCGTCTCTCGTCTCCTCCACAACGACCATTGCGCTCGACCCGTATGTTCGCTGGCTCCTCCAGATGATGATCATGGGAAGGTTTCTAATTATGCAAAAAACCATTCAAGATTTTTTGAAATTAGTCAATTATTAGCATTGGAAAATGTAAAAATTGGTAACAAAATAAGTCAAAATCTTGGTAAAGCGACAAACTTTATGCTTAAAACAAATTCCAGATAGGGACAGGAGTGAAGGAGAATGAGACCGTTAAAGACCAGGGTCAAAACGGTCTTTTCAAGCATGTGTTGGAGTGAAAAAGCACATAAATTTATGGAAATTCAGCAAAAACAAAAGATGACACAGCTAAAGGATCGATCGTATGTAGCAGCTGTCCCGACAGAAAGGAAAGTCTCTGCAGCTTTTTGGATGAATCCATTAATCTTTTAAAATATGGAGTATATTCAAATAATTAAAACCATAATTATATGCTAAGAATATACTTATTTTTGCATATGCTACAAAAATATACTACTTATTTTGAGTTTCCCGATAAATAACTTTTTGGTCTTTTCCACCGCCTCATCTCTCTGCCTTTGTTGTTTTTCTTGCAAACTTACCCAAACTTCCAAAAAAGAATTCACTTATTCTTAAGAGATTCTATTTGTAATCATATGCTAATTATGTAATCCCTCAACCCTTAATTACACTCCCTTTCATGAGGCCATCAAGTACAGTAGAACACATAATACATATCATCAAATTTATTAATAGTTATAAACAAACATATGCATATGTAGATTTTTCACAAAAAATAATAATATATGTATAGATAGATATGTATATACCTCTGGTTGTGTGTCGCATCCGATCGAACATATCCAGTTCTTGGACTGTTCAACCTTGTAACCTGTAAAATTCATATATAATTTTCAAAATGTCAATTTAGAAATGTAATCAACCTAAAAAAATTATAATACAAAAAAGACTTTAATTTTTAGAAAGGCCCCAAGTTCTGTTTCTATGGTCTCTTACCTGACGGATCTTTCTTGTCGAATCCGTGGTTTGAGACAAGACTTGTTGTTGAAAAGACCGATTCTTCATGACCAGCTTCCATCTGTCGTCGTCGTTTCTGGCGTTCTCGGGCTTTGTGGTTTTGGAACCAATAGAAAACGTTTTTGCCTTCTATCTTCCCGTACCGTCGTAGTTGTGCCGTGATTTGTTGGATGTGGTCGGCAGAAGGAGTTCTAGTTCCTTGTCGGTAAAGCTCTTCAAGAACCCTTAACTGATCTGGCGTCGGATTCCACCGTGAGCTCACCATTACCGGTGGATGTTGAGGTTCTGAGTTTAGCATCATCAGCTCCCTCTTGTTCTGCTCCGCCGTCATCGTCACCACTGCTGTGAAAATCATAATAACAAAGAAATGAGCATTCGACACAAGAGAAAGAGAGACTGGAAAATTTCACCAAAAACAACGAGAGAGAGAGAGAGAGAGAGAGAGAGAGAGAACGAGATACCCATATTAAAGCGGTGGTCGGAGTTGGTGTTTACGGCGGCGGTGGGACAAGATGAGAGGCGTGGGATGAGAGGACGAAGCTTTCTTCCTCCGTTGAAGGAATCTCCGCCCCCTTCGTTGTAACCCATCGTCCACATTTTGGTGTACTTAATTTATATGTATGTTTATAGAGGAGAAGGGAGAGAGAGACAGCGATAGCAAGTAAATATTAGGGTTTTGTTTGTTTTATCGAAATTGAGGAGATGTGAATGATAGGGTTGAAGGAGAAATAGACAAATGGTAGAAAGTGGTTTTGGCTATTTTGGCTTATGGGTTTGGAGAGAGTGATAAAGTTTAGATATCTTTGTAATGTGAATGTGAGAATGGGAGCATGCTAATGGGGTGGTTTTGTGTGTATATATTTATAGAGAGAGATATAGACAGTCTAATAACATATATATATATATATATATATATATATATTTTTTTTTTAAAATACAAATAATTAACATTTCACACATACGAATAGAAATATATACTTGATTTTATTTCGATTATTTTAAAAATTCTCCACTGGGCTGCAAAATCACAGACGATATGTTTTCATGTCAAAGAAATATAACATTTTTTAGTCCTTCATTAGTAAACGACAGACCTATATACTTTCCCCAAGAAGGAATTTTATCATTTCACATACATTTGTAGGAAGCTACGATTTGTTTGTTTGCACAATACGATTAATGTAACTTGTACATTCATAGGCTTTAATAAGTCGGATGTATCTTTACTTGCATGATAAAAAGCTTTCATGCATGTACAATGTGTACCATTAAAATGCTATTCAAAACGTGGTTAGCCTGCGGATGATGAAAGTATTTAACTACTAGCTATACACATAAAAAGTAGATTCCAAGAAATTACAAACTTTCGTCCCGACCAAATCTATACTTCACAGAATTAGATCCCCCTACCTAAAGCACACGATAAAACTATATATCTACCGTGGCCAAGTAACAAACTACGGTGATGGTTATTGATAAATCACTTTTGTGTAGCGAATTCAATAAATGCAGTGATCAGCTATATATGTAATTTCACTAAGCTAAGGAATGATACCTACAATTTTAGTTTCATAAATTAATGGCTATCACTAGATAGTATAAATGTACAATAAAAGAATAGGAGGTAGGAAGATGAGGTTGACTAGTAAAGAGGAGAGAGGATCGGAGGGGCGTGGAATTCTGGGGGGATATGACATGAATGATATGGGGAGATGCGAAGGAGCTTATAACGACGTGACATTCTCCCATCTCTCCCCATCACTCGTTTTCTTTCATTCTTTTTTTTCCCTCTTTTTTTTTTGTAAAATCCTATATTAGATTGCTATGTTTTTTTTTTTTAACGAAATATGAGATCGATAAATGGGATCCCTAAATAAATATGTATGTGTGTGTGTGTTGTGGCTTTCACTATTATTCTTGTTCTCAACTGCCCCATAGCTTTGTCTCCTTTACACTCTTAACCTCATCTCCTTTTGTCTCTCTAGCTCAAACTTACTTTTCCATAAAACCCTTTTCCTTCTTTCTTCTCTTTGGGATCTTAAATCCCCCTTTTTGTCTTTTCCCAAGCCCTAATCAATCCTTTTGTTTTTTTTTCTCCTTTTTTTTTGGAAAATTTGCAAACAAATATTAATCCCTGAGTTTGGAAGAGATGTACCAAAATGATCGAATTTGCTTTCTATTTGTTCTCATGTTTGTGTGATCAAACTATATATCTCCCCTTATTTGCTTGAGATGTAGCTATGGGATTCAAGGTGGTAGCTATTATATTAGTGACACACATGAACAAAGTGATGATATTAATTTTTATTTGGTGATATATCTTTCAAACTTAATAAATATGAGTTTTTAGAAAAATTCAAGAATTTTTTTTATGAAATCTCATAGGTTTTTTCTTTCTTTCTGTAAAAGTTTAAAATCTCATAGTTTTTGTAGTTACAAAGGATACGTGAATTCGCACGCACTCTGAATCATTACGTTTCTTTTTAACAGAGATATTTTCAAGCTTGATATTTTTCTTTTCACACTTATATTCTATCTATTAGGTAAATTCACAAGATTAAATGAAAGATTATGTATTGATTTTGGGGAAAAAATAATCACAGTGAGTGAAACTTAACTCAAATACAAAATAAATAAATTATTATATGATCATTTAAAAAGAATGCTGGGCTTATATTAATCAGACTTTTGGGCCCAATGAAATCGGATTAGGCCCAAACAAGCTATAAATGAATGCCATATAAAAACGGTTTGAAAGAGAGATACAGAGATCGCTACCAAAGTTATGTTCTTCGTCACTCGCCTGCGACTACGAGCCAGAGAAAATGGCTTCTTATTGTCTAAATCCCTCTCTTTCTCATCTGCCTCCATATTGAAATCTGATGATGTCGAAGGAGAAGATGATGCAGTAGAAGCAGAAGATCGTCGACGTAGTGTAACCAATAGAGCTTACTGGAGAAGACGAATACACAGTATCTGCGCCGTACGGAGAAATCCAGACGAAGCTCTTCGGGTTCTAGACGGACTCTGCCTCCGTGGATATCGTCCCGACTCGCTTAACCTGAGCAGTGTGATCCACTCTCTTTGTGACGCCGGACGATTTGACGAAGCTCACCGTCGGTTTCTACTCTTCGTCGCTTCAGGTTTTATCCCAGATGAGCGAACCTGCAACGTTATCATAGCGAGATTGTTAGATTTGAGATCTCCGGTGAGTACGTTTGGAGTTATACAACGTTTGATCGGTTTCAAGAAGGAGTTCGTGCCGTCGTTGACGAATTACAACCGTTTGATCAATCAGTTGTGTTTGATTTATAGAGTAATCGATGCGCATAAGCTTGTATTTGATATGAGGAATAGAGGACATCTCCCAAATGTTGTGACTTTCACAACTTTAATCGGTGGTTACTGTGAGATTAGAGAACTTGAAGTTGCTCATAAAGTGTTCGACGAAATGCGTGGGTGTGGCATAAGGCCTAATTCTCTCACAATGAGTGTTCTTATTGGTGGGTTTTTTAAAATGAGAGATGTTGAAACAGGACGGAAGCTGATGAAGGAACTTTGGGAATACATGAAGGATGAGGCCGATACATCAATGAAAACAGCAGCTTTTGCAAATCTTGTTGATTCTATGTGCAGGGAAGGGTATTTCAATGACATTTTCGAGATTGCAGAGAACATGCCACAATGCGAGTCCGTGAACGTTGAATTTTCTTACGGGCATATGATAGATTCCTTGTGTCGATACAGGAGAAACCATGGAGCTGCAAGGATTGTTTATATAATGAAGAGTAAAGGATTAAAACCGAGAAGAACGTCATACAATGCTATAATTCATGGCTTGTGCAAGGATGGTGGGTGTATGAGGGCTTATCAGTTGCTAGAAGAGGGATCTGAATTTGGTTTCTTTCCGTCTGAGTATACTTATAAGCTTCTAGTGGAGAGTCTATGCAGGGAACTGGACACGGGTAAAACCAGGAATGTTCTAGAGCTGATGTTGAGAAAGGAAGGAACAGATAGAACTCGAATCTATAATATTTATCTACGAGCTCTCTGTGTGATGGATAACCCGACTGAGATCCTGAACGTACTGGTCAGTATGCTTCAGGGAGACTGTAGTCCTGATGAGTATACACTTAACACAGTTGTTAATGGATTTTGCAAGATGGGTAGGGTGGATGATGCTATGAAAGTTCTTGGTGATATGATGACAGGGAAATTCTGTGCACCAGATGCTGTGACTTTAACTACTGTTATGTGTGGCTTGCTTAGTCAAGGAAGAGCAGAAGAAGCTCTCGATGTGTTGAATCGGGTTATGCCAGAGAAGAAGATTAAGCCAGGTGTTGTTACATACAACGCTGTTATACGCGGGTTGTTCAAGCTCAATAAGGGAGATGAAGCTATGTGTGTGTTTGATCAGCTGGAAAAGGCAAGTGTGACTGCGGATAGTACTACATATGCTATAATCATTGACGGATTGTGCGTGACTAGTCAGGTGGATATGGCGAAGAAGTTCTGGGATGATGTGATATGGCCATCAGGCAGGCATGATGTGTTTGTTTATGCAGCGTTTCTGAAAGGGCTTTGTCGGTCTGGTTATCTAAGTGATGCTTGCCATTTCCTATATGACCTGGCAGATTCTGGAGCAATCCCTAATGTTGTGTGCTATAATACTGTGATTGATGAGTGTAGCAGAAGTGGGTTGAAGAGAGAAGCGTACCAGATTTTGGAGGAGATGAGGAAGAACGGTCAGGCTCCTGATGCTGTTACATGGCGGATACTCGATAAACTGCATGATTCTTCTATGCCTTTAGCTGTGGAAGGAGAGTTAAATTCAAACCCTGCAACCTCAGGATAGACTCTTTCAAATGTTTTGGGGCGCAAGCATCTTGCATTCTGAAATTATGGTCACTGGTAAAAGTAAAAAGCTGACTGGTGATCTGAGAATTGGTTTTACCAACGCTGTATGAGAGTAAAGAAGTGGGCTTGTTTGTTTCTTCTCTGTGAGTTTTTCGCCGGCAAATTCAAAAGTTCAGTGAGCTCAGATAGGTGAATAATAAGCAGAATTGAAAGAAAACATTTAAGAGCGAGGAAAGGAAACATAAACATTTCTACAGCAACAGAGTGGAGCTAGTGCAAATGGTTCTCCAGACACATGAATCCAGACAGCCATTTTAAGATGTACAAGAAAAGCATACAGATTGATAAAAATCTATTATCTAAAAGCAGATGATTTCCACAAAATGCATCATGGTTTAACTAGTTCCACCGCTTTGCTGATGAGCCTGAGACTCCCAGAAGAGTCTGACAGTGGAATAGATAAGAGAGGGCTCAGCCATAGCGCCATTACCATAGTCTCCACAGGCCAATCTCTTCTTGATAGGAGGAATAAGTGTGATTCCCAGTTCATCAAGCGACAAAAGATGCCTTTCAGTGAAAGGATTGTTCCACATCAAAGTATTCATAGCTGGTGCAACAAACAGTGGTTTGCTATAGTCCCAAGCTCGTATAATGCAAGTCAGAAGATTATCACAAAGCCCACCAGCAATCTATAATGGTAAAAAAAAAAAAAAAAAAAGATTGTATGAATATCGAATGTTTCCACAATTCACACAATTGAAGCAAAGTAGAGGGTTATAGAAGTTTAGTTAATTACCTTGCCTAGAGTGTTAGCAGACAAAGGAGCAATGACTAAAACATCAGCCCAACGTCTAAGCTCGATGTGAAGGACAGGATCACCGATCTTGTTCCAGCTTGACCATTCATCTTCATCAGTATACAGAGTCACTTCTTGTGGGAGAGAGAGTTTATCGAGGAAATGAAGAGATGATTTCGAAACTACGGCTCTCACTTCTGCCCATTCGGTGAAAC